ACCACAGTCTGCTATCTACAGGTGTCTACCAGTCTGTTGTTTACTGGTGTCTTCCACAGTCTGTTGTTTACTGATGTCTACCACAGTCTGTTGTCTTCTGATGTCTACCAGTCTGTTGTTTACTGGTGTCTTCCACAGTCTGTTGTTTACTGATGTCTACCACAGTCTGTTGTCTACTGATGTCTACCACAGTCTGTTATCTACAGGTGTCTACCAGTCTGTTGTTTACTGGTGTCTTCCACAGTCTGTTGTTTACTGGTGTCTACCACAGTCTACTGTCTACTGGTGTCTACCACAGTCTGCTATCTACAGGTGTCTACCAGTCTGTTGTTTACTGGTGTCTTCCACAGTCTGTTGTTTACTGATGTCTACCACAGTCTGTTGTCTACTGATGTCTACCAGTCTGTTGTTTACTGGTGTCTTCCACAGTCTGTTGTTTACTGATGTCTACCACAGTCTGCTATCTACAGGTGTCTACCACAGTCTGCTATCTACTGATGTCTACCAGTCTGTTGTTTACTGGTGTCTTCCACAGTCTGTTGTCTACTGATGTCTACCACAGTCTGTTGTTTACTGATGTCTACCACAGTCTGCTGTCTACTGTTGTCTACCAGTCTATTGTTTACTGGTGTCTTTCACAGTCTGTTGTCTACTGATGTCTACCACAATCTGTTGTTTACTGATGTCTACCACAGTCTGTTGTCTACTGATGTCTACCACAGTTTGCTGTCTACTGGTGTCTACCAAAGTCTGTTGTTTACTGATGTCTACCACAGTTTGCTGTCTACTGGTGTCTACCAGTCTGTTGTTTACTGGTGTCTTCCATAGTCTGTTGTCTAGAGGTGTCTACCGCAGTCTGTTGTCTAGAGGTGTCTACCACAGTCTGTTCCTTACTATTACCATTACAGTGTGCTGTTTACTGTTGTCTATATCAATCTGCAGTTTACTACAATTTGTTGTCTACCACAATCTGTTTTCTACCACATGGACAGAATATTTACTTAAGGCATGACCCTTCTTGGAACCTTATCAAACTCCAACTGAAGTATTCAAGACTTTCACACGAATTTCAGTGACGGTGCAATTGTCTGTAGATACATGGTTCTTGAGAGAGGATAATTGAAAACACGAGTTCATGAAATATGTATAAATTGTGATGAATTTTTGATAATCTGTTTGCTTCTAATGAAGAACCATACTGTAATTATCTTGCAATAATTGCTATATTTAGTAATAAATTTGTCTAAACCATTCCTACCCAAACTTTCCAACATTTTTAGCAGTAACACGATGTCAAATAGAATTAATGATTGAGAACATTTTATATCTCTACATCCTTCCTACCTTAAAAGCAGCAAAGATACATATATACTTGAAAGGGGAGACATGTTCTTGTCCACCAAAACAAATCTCTAGTTTAGAGTAAAATAAGTAACCTCATGAGAGAAATTCTCACAGTTATAAAAACAAATTAGGATGTCTGATGTTTGATTACAGTGTCTGACATCATGCCACGATCAGAACAATGGACAGACAAAATAGGAGAGAATCGTTTCTGAAATTCTATCACCTGCCGTGAGTGCTAGACAGTGTATGGGTGTTTTCTTCATTAGTCTATTGATGAAAATAGACTTTGAATTTACATCTCTGTTTGATTTACAATAAACAGTGGTCTACACTTGGTTTGATGACGATACTTTCCGGGTTATAAACCGCACCAGTATGAAAGCCGCAGAGCCAATTTTTCTATTTGATCCATATATTTGCCACATCGGAATATAAGCTGCACTCTTTCTTATGATTAGGTAACCCTATGTTGACCAAAGTTTGTTGATATAACAGACAACAGAAAGCAATTTATCAAGATAGTCAGTGAAACGTTTAATGTTTGCCAAAGAATCATACACAGATAATCCTTTATTTTATCAATGTGTTAAAAAAACGTGAAATAGCAAATACTGAACTCATTTGGCTTGGTAGCTTTCAAAAAGTCATACAGATATAGGGCATGTTACATAACATAACCTTTCTCTATTTTATATTATGTGTTATATTAAAAAGTAAGAATAATTAAATCCATGAAAATGTCATTTTCATTTCAATCTTGAAATCATCCTGTATATGATTTCAAATGACGGTTCTAGACGATCTGTTTCAGTCACAAACATGTGATGGACAGGTACTTGTGGAAAATTATCATGTCTTTACTGGTGTTCTGAAATCATTTTTCTTATGCGTGGAATTTTGAAATTTTTTAAGTAGTACTAGCTGGTACTGAAGCTCCTACATTTCATTTTCTTTGTTTTCCCATTCAGAAATTTATTTCAGTGTACAGTGTACAAAAATTGCTCCAGTGTCTTTCGATCTATATGTAATTTTTTGGAACTTGGAGAGGAGAAAGGTCTTGGGTGTTGCTCTGCATTCTGTGTTAGTTTAAAGACAAATCATTCACCTGAGAAAAGTTGTTTTGTTAAACGTAAACACCACAGATAATTTCTTAAAATAAATTGCAAAAACAATAAACTTTAAAGGGGCATTCCTTTGTTCTCTGACCTTGTTTATATCAAAATGAGAATTATTCCAATACATGAACCTGGTACTGATAAACTAAGCGTGCATTTGATCAGAAAATGAACGTCCCATCACAAATTCACTGGCTCAGTTTAGATATTACGTGACATCCCCACTCTACATGTAAACAAAAGTTGAAATGTGGTCATTAAGTTAGTTTAAATGATGGCAAAGACATGCATGTTCATAATGTCGTTATATAAAATGGTTGTAAGGGTAAATTGAAATGTTCATGCCTGAATGGCAGCCTGGGAAACTGCTTTTCTTACTGCTGTCCAATTGAAGTAAAGCCAAGTTTTTATCATTTGTCGGAAGTGAGGCGGTTCCATTTGTCGCTTCTATCTTTTAAGCGCTTTTCAAATGTTTTATCAACGTTTTTCTGTCCCTCAGTTACCTGTTCATTTTGTTTCTTACCCGATTCAGATTTTAGAAAACTTACAGATAATCTCTTCCAGCAAATTGGTGAACTGCCATCATCATTTGTTTTTTGTTTATAAACTGCAACAACTCAACTGCACATGCTCATATTTAAACGCCCTGATGGGAGAAATCTCTCTGATCAAATTAACATTACACTAATATGGCAGTTTTAAGTACAAAGCTTATGTTTTTTAAGACCTTTGTACTTTAACAGCCATATTAGAAAATTACAGGTTTATCATTTAGTTATATTTTTATAACTTCAAATTGCTCCAATGACGTAATGCCCCTGGAAGAATTCAGTTACAGTATACTGAATTAACAGAGAAATTTCTGTGAACAACGTCAAATGCAATAATATGACAGAAGAAGATGTATTTGGAGGGAAGTGTGATGAAGATTAAGGAAGTCATTTAAAATCTTTAAGAATACGGGTATGATCACCTTCCATTATTGATTGGAGTGGATGCTATGATGATACTTGTATATCTTGTTTCTCTGGAACTTCCACAAGCCCCTATCCAGACACAATCATCAAGGGGATTAGCGGTTAGCATTGATATGTTGGTTTCTGTGAGTTTGTTTAAAAGCCAAGAAATGAAGCACATTTACATGTGAAAAATAGAGAAATAAAAAGAAGTTCTGTTGAAAAAAAAACTAAATTTTGCAGAAAGACCTGGAGAGCACTACTGAGGTTGTTATTTTTGGTAGTGTACCTTTGAGTAGTTGTTAGCAGGATGTTTGTTGTATTATTATTTGTCTTTATTGTAGTTGACCTTTCCCAGTAGCTTCAGCATGCTTTTGAAGTTGGTATATTTTTTGCATTTCTATTTGTTTTAATTGGAATAAATGGCATAATTGGTCTTTGGTTTTCCTTTGTTTTTAATTCAAAATAAATGTGTAAGGCTCAATAATTGCATGTTGTGGGTGGAAAGTAACATAATAAAAAGGAAGCAGACTTTTGATGTCCACTCCATAATGATGTACAATTCTGATAATACAAATTTACCAGTCATAATCTTGCCAAGGAAGCATACAGCCACGGGAGGGTGCCACTTTGTCTCGGCTGTGTTCTGCATTGTGTAACAAGACAAGGATACCACACCCCTCTCGAGCACTTAGATACTGGTCTCGGAGACCAATGAAGCTATATATAGGCGGTATTGAATATTCATTTGTAACATCTACGTTAATGTGTATCAATATATTTAGTGGTGGAGAATTTTATAAAGGCCATTAATTACTTAATGGGTGAGCGTCTCTACGCTGTTCTATCCACCTATAATATAATACCCTACCAAGACATAGACTGTCGCCATGGGAACCAAGTGGTGATACATAAGGAACTTTTCCAATTTGGTGCTATTATCTGTAATCTTGTTGTGTAGGCTTGGCATTTCCTTGTTATGTCAGCAGAAAGATTTTATTATTCTAAGTGTTTGGAATTTAAGTATGTAATTGTGATTTAATGGTTGTCGGATTAAGACATTTTGTTTCACAGTTGGAGAGACCTAGGGTCTATATATAGCATTAGAGACCAGCGAATCCTGTAGATACTATAATTGTCCCAATGTGAGCTCTTTTTTATCATTTTAATGATAGCCTAGTCAAGTCCCCAAATTTTATGCCAAAATTATTAAAAATTAATTTTACTGACATCTCAATCAAACATGCACAAACATAAACAAAGAAAGAAAGGTTTACACACCAATCTGAGAGTAAGACCAGGTGTTCCTGAAGGGTAAATTTCTTCTGCTTTATCCATGTCACCTGTCATGTAAAGATTGGGAAAATTTCACACTCTCAAGTGAAAACCAGGAATAAAATAAACCATTATTAGATTTACATATATCTGTATCAGGTAATGGTGAATAAGAAATTCTGTAAACAGAAAGCTTTGTCATGGTCCCAGAAATCTTGTTATAAACAAATTTGGGTGTAATTAATTTTCCTGTGAACAAATATCCGTGATGATTTACTTTAACTTGGGTACTTTTCATCTTCAACAGAACGGCTCTTGGGGTCTGGCGAGTCATTCTGGAGGAAACAGAGAATCTGGCTAAAGCAAAACTACAGGCGGCCGAAATCTACATGGAAAAGATAGCAGAACCAGTCAAACCGTTACGTACTAATAAAATACAATGTCAAAAAAAGGTGGGTAACATTGGCAGATTAACATCAGAATCTGCAATCGGTCAGGTAGGTGTTAAATGAAAGTGAGGAATTCATGTATAAAGATAAATTTGATCAAGTTTGGGATATAACACAACATTAAAGGTTAGGTAGAGAGGAAAATTCAAGTATTGGTCTATTTGTCAAAGGTCAGATGAAGGTCAGATTCACTTGTAGAGTCAGGACATTTAAGTTCAGGTTATTTTGATATTTGTTTTCAAAAAAAAAAAGAATTTGACATTTTGGTGTAACACTTATGTTGAAGTCTAGATATCAGGTTAAACGGCCGTGGCTTTATAATGGTTCTCGTCTGTGATAGGAAATGAAAGTGATATTCAAGTTTATTAATACAAGCTGCTTTATGTCAAGCAAAATTACGATTGTGGGTAAAATTAATTTGTTAAGAAGTTAAACAGTAAACAGTGTAAAAAGAATCTGCTGATAGCAATATGTAAACAGGTGTGGGGTCACCTAAATGGCATCGTGGAATTAATTTTTGAATTAAAAACAGAAATCAAGAAAAGTTAGAATATTAGATTAAAAGAAAAAACTTACTTGTTGTAAATGACCATTAACCTTGACCACAGGTAATGCCACAACTGACCACCCTACACCAAGAGGTCAGCCAGAGTGTGATGGAGATGGCAAAGTCACAGAAGGGATACAACCTTGACGAGAATGTCTCCCATGAAGCACGTCTGAAAGCTGCTGACAGTAACAACAGGTAAGCAGTTCACCATGATAGTTATTTCACACAAAACATTTTCATTTGGTTTTTAGATCAGACAGAACCAAAAGGATCTGCACCAATGTAGTCTGTCAGTTTGGATTTTTTTTTCTTGAATTAGCTTGGAAATTTCTTGAATTAGCTCTGAAAGCTTTTCAACAATTTCTATCTTTGGTGATCATTAAGACACATCTTCTGTTTTTTGTCATATTACTTTGTGTTTGGTTGGTTGGTTGGTTACAAATTTTTGGTCTCCATGACTACCAACATCAGTGTTCTGAAGTCATAACTGTTGGTAATATACATATGTATGTATGATCATGAACTTTTTTTTTTTTTTTGCAGATTGGCTCGAAGGTCTACAGGAATATTCCAGTCTTTGACAAGCCTACAACAGAAAAGTGCTAAGGTAATGCATAGAGGAATACTGAAGTTTTCAAAAACACTTAAATGGTGTCTGTCAAAATGAATTTTTGTAAGATGTGTACAAATTCTCCCAATCATGACCTCACTTGAAAAGCTTAGATATGTAATTGGCACTTATGTTGTCTTGACTTCTCAAAGATACAAAACATGATAATAAGTGGAATTTGATTTTAACAGTACATGTTTCACATAAACCAATGATAGATCAATGAAAAAATCACTTTGATTGTTTTTGAAAGTCAATTGCTTTACATTCAGGAAAAAGTAGCCATTGAATTTAAGGTTTCTACCTGTAGAGTGATTTCTCATCTTGATATGCTGGGTAACTGACAATAGAACATGATATAAAGTGGTTTTTTGTTGAATCCTATAATATTAAGCAAACTAAATTACTAACCATATACAAGAGAGAAATATTTAGCTAAACTTGACAACTGCATGCTTCTTATAAAATAAATGTAGCAAACTGGTGTTTTATGTGTGTGACACGGATGTTGATAGAGTTGTATATAGAATACAAAAACTAGTATTTAAGAAACCAAATTAAGAGAATGTGATATAAAGTGAGAATCTATTAGGTGGTCATTGTCTGTAATAGTGTAACTTTATTTTTATTACAGCTAAACAGTCGAAGAGACATGTGTGAGGCAAAATCTTGTCAGTCACGTAACGAATATGTGCTTAATATGTCTGCAGCAAATGCTCATCAAATACGTTACTATAGCATCGACCTACCGGAACTGATGAAGGTAAAATTTGAATGAAATTAGCAACCATTAATGTAAATATCCTTTCATTATCTCTGCATGTGCAAATTTCAGAAGGGTTTTTATGCCTCTAGATTGAAAGATTGTGATGACAAGACCTTTCCAGTGATACCAAAATTTGCACCTTGTGACCTTGACTGTGACCTTTGACCTAATTTGAAAAAATTTTAACATTTACTATAATTATTGCAACATAAGAGATAAAGCTTTCATATTTGGCATTTGTGTTCCTTGTGACAAGACCTTTCTGGTGGTTCCAAAGCTTTGAAAATATGACTTGACTGTGACTTTCATTTAAATGTGAAAAAAAAATGTTATCACAATGAAGACATAAGTGTTTCACAAAGTAGGCGTGTAATTAGCACATGCACTACAGTTTTAATGTCTCACTTCAGAATTTTGTTGCCACTGGGGGGGGAAGGGGTTCATATTTCAGGACCGAAAACTAAAATTGTTGTTGGCAGGATTTAGATGTTGATGTATAGGATAATTGAGAATGTGTTTGTTTGACAGACTCTGGATGGTGATATGTTTGAAAGAGTGAAGGATTACTTCACTGTTCTAGGATCTACTGGTCTGGAGATCAGTACACAAGAGAAGGGTTCATGTGAGAATATCGTCTCTCAGGCAAAAATGGTATGTGTGGAATCTAACACTTGTTTACATTTGTTTTAGAATTTTTTATTCTGTAGCTTCTTATGTCCAAACTTCTGTTGTGAAAAAAGCAAGTGATTAAGACTTTCTTGTTACAAAAAGTGACAAGAGAAAAATCAAGAGAACCCATATTGGAAACTAAACCTATCTAGCCAAGCACAACTTTGGTCTCAAAGGAAACATTTTAAATTCCTTTTGTGTATATTATCAAGAGCAGTTTAATAAGTACAGTAGAGTTATAACAAATTGCCTTGCGTTATATGTGTGTTTTCTGAGGGAAAGTTTGCTACTTTTGACAAAAATTGACCACTTCTTTACAGACCTTGACCAGTACTAATTCATTGATAATTTAATTTCAGATTGACCGCCAGTTTAACCACCAGTGTTTTCTCTATTGTAATCACGTCTTTACAGACCTCACACAATATCATTTTGAACCTTGCCAAAACGACGAGGTAAGTTCCGCTCATGTGTTGGAATTCTAAATATATACTAAAATCTCAACATCTACCATATATATCAGTCTTGTAACAAGCCCAACGATTTCTTTCCCCTCTGTAGTTATCAGATGTTCGGCCAATGTCTTGCTATAGTCCTCCAAAGTCTTTTTAAGTATTTCAGTTCTTCAGAAATGTGGAAAAAATCTTTCTGTCCTTTAATAAGCCCACTCCTCCAGTTGGAGTCAGAGATTTAGGGGTAGCCTCCCTTGAATTTATTACAGCATAAAACCAGTAATTTACAGGTATTTAGGTCAAATGGTACATTTATGTTGTGATATCTTATGTGTTTTCAGGTTGTAGGTATAACATATTTTGTCTTTCAGTGCAATAAAGTTTCCAAGGACCACAATGCAGGGTTACAGCTGGACAAAGAGGCACGAAAGTGGGCCACCAAGGCTGCAAAGGAAAGTAAGACAATCAAGGAATTTACAGCCAGCCTCAAATCACTCCAGGAACAGGCCCAAGGGGACAAGGTATGATGATTATAGCACAGAATTACACAGTAGTGTTTATAGGTGACTTAGGATGACTTCAGTGTGTAGTTCTGGGGTCTTCAGATTTGTAGCCATGGTGACTGTGTTTTGTAACCATATGGGTTTGTAACTATGGTGAGATGAGTTTGTAGCTATGGTTTGAATAGGAGCGGGAGAGTTTGAGTCTTAAGAGATATTTTCTGGTGAAAGTGAACTTAATTTGTGGATGTAAGCAAGTACATAAAGCCTTGACATGAGAGGTTGAGCTAGTGGCAAAAGAAAAAATCACCAAATTTAAACAATTAGAGTATATCATGTCTTTATTATCTCCATTTTTATAGCTCTCCGATTCAGGAATGGACATTAATTCCTCACAAGAAATTGAACAGAGGATAGAGGAAACACGATTTTGTCTGCGAAAATCTGAGGTAAGAAAAAGTGTTCTGAGTAGTTTGAATCACTTGAAAATCACATAATGTGGGTATAGGGTCCGTTGTAACAATATTGTGTATTAAGATTAAATAATTCAGAAACATTTCCAAAGATTGATGTTTGATATAACTGAGAACGTAGCTCAGGTATTTAAATAGATATGATCTGGTCACTCTGATATAACACAGATTATGACCTGCTGAAATTGAGATAAATGCTAGAATTAACTGATATTTCTCTACTTGAGGTCAGTATTTAAGTTTTAAGTTCAAGTTTTGGATCACAGATAAGATGACTTTACAACAGAATTGATTATAAGGTCTTTTTCATTGATGGCCCTTTAAAACATTCTGTCGCCCTTGATTTTTGAAGTTACAACAGAATTGATTATAAGGTCTTTTTCATTGATGGCCCTTTAAAACATTCTGTCGCCCTTGATTTTTGAAGTTACAACAGAATTGATTATAAGGTCTTTTTCATTGATGGCCCTTTAAAACATTCTATCAACCTTGATTTTTGAAGTTACAACAGAATTGATTATGAAGTCTTTTTCATTGATGGCCCTTTAAAACATTCTATCAACCTTGATTTTTGAAGTTACAACAGAATTGATTATGAGGTCTTTTTCATTGATGGCCCTTTAAAACATTCTGTCAACCTTGATTTTTGAAGTTATGAATAGATATTATTTGACTAGTTGACAACACTAGTGGATTAATAGAGGGGGACAGTTACTACAGATTGTTTAACCAAGCATTGAACTGTCTTGTTATTTCATGCGGGTGGTCATGATACACAGGTCACTTTATACCTGTGGTCATTCCATACAAATACCAGGTAGTCATTAAACACAGAACATTTTATACAGGTAGTCATTTTGGCTTGAAGAACCAGGTGAGCTATAGGGATACTGTGGCATCTGTTGTTTTTATTTTCATTTTTTCTTTTACAGTATATTCCAATATTCATGAACGCCAGAGCAGATTTTAATCAAATTTAGTTTGAAACATCCTTGGGGAAAGAGGAACCAATTTTGTGTAAATGGTTGGTCTGGCTCCCCCTGGGGCCAGAGGGTCGGGGCACAATTGAGAAAATTTATCAGTTTCTTAAAAATGTATCTTGTTCTTTAGGAATTGCAGGATATTGTCCAGATTTGATCTGAAGCATGTTTAGATGAAGGGAAATCAGTTTTGTATAAATGGTGGGTCTCTGCCTCCCGGAGCTAGAGGGCAGTGCCCATTAGGGAAAATCTATTAACTCCTGTTAAATATATCTTTTTCAGGAATTGCAGGACATTGTCTATATTTGGTCTGAAGCATGCTTGTATAAAGCATGGGTTTCAGCCATCTGTTGCCAGATGGGTGGGGCCCAAATCTAACCCCAGGTAGATTTAGTTCATTTTCGTATCATTGCTTTGCACCATCAATTCAATTGGATCTTTGCTTTTTTAAAACAGTTATGATCCCCACTGAATAACTAGCATTCTGAGCATCAGGAGGTAAACACAATCATAACAGATCATTTGACCTAGGGTCTGGTCCCACCTTAGGATAGATTATATCTTTGAAGCCATTGAGACTGCCATCCCATAACTCAACAACATTGCTGGGAATTAAGAGGTTAACAGCTGATTTCTCTCCCCACCCCTAGGGAATTTGAAGCTGTGGGTTGAGGCTCATCAGAGGAAATGTTTTCCTTCTAAATAAGTGTAGCTTTATGCATTATTTACTTAAATATCCAGGTGAATCATACAGGCCCTGTGGGCCTCTTGTTTTGGGAGGATGGGGTCCTTTAGTGTGACCCATGTCCACGGTGATCTGTCAAGAATAAAGGGTCAAAGGTCATTTGACAACTTCTGTAAATTCATCAAACAAATGTACTAAAATGTATGGGAGCATTCCTGTCTTGTAGACAACTCTACTTAATAAAATTAGTGATTATTTAACATTGTATATAGTAGTGATTGTTGATGATTTTTTTAATGTTCAATGATAACCAGGTTTTTTTGGTGAACTACATGGGAGAGATTGCTGCTTTGATCTCTTAAAACTAGAAATTAATAATTGTCCCATTATATGCAAGATCAAATGCCTTTAAGTCCAGATTACTCAGAAAATTTAATTTATTTCAGATTGCTAAATGTAAAGCTGAAGCCAGATTAGAAGCTCTGAGGCAGGCAGATGGTAGGTTTGTTTAGTGTTGTAGAATTCTTAACTCTTTGAGAAGGGATACTTGTGTGTGTTGAACTGGCTTGTAAAATGAATTTGGAATGAATTTTTTCTAATCTTGTACAACATTGACTTCTCTTAAATGTTTGTATAGATATATTTTATAATATGGGTAAAATGTGAGTAGAATACCTTAATATGCAAGATAGTAATGAATGTGTTTTCATTTTACAGTAAATGTGGACGAGTGGATCGCTAGTGCCCAGGCGGAAAGTTTACGGGTTGAAGAGGAAGAAATGTCACGAACACCAAGTCAGATCTCATTAAGGACAGAAAGTTCAGGAGGAGTGAGTATAAAATACATTTATTACCTTCATTTCAGGTTAACAGAACATGTACTAACCTAGGCTGAGGTCTATAGTTGTGATGACCCCCACCAATCAAACATAAGTTGAAAATTTAAATGCACAAGGTATTCAGTAGAAACAGTTGTAATCAATAGCACAGAGATAAAATTGTTTTGTTTTCAGCTGATTTTGTATAAAACTTACAGTTAAACCAGACGATAATAAATGATTAAAAAAAGATGAGTATTAAAGAAAAAAGCTGTCGCCTAAAGTTGTTAAAATTTTTTAACAGAAAAGCGATGACCATGAGCCAACCTATACTCATTATGATGATGACGACGACTTTATTGACGACACTTTTGAAGTTAGCAAGCATGACAGCATCAGTTCTTATGGCAGTCAAACCAAGGCTGTTAAGTGTAGAGCCATTTATGATTTCCAGGTAAATCAACCTGTAACTGCTTTATATTATAGCATTCCTTAGTTTTCTGATATTTTCAAACCAGGGTGAATTCTGTTGGTAAAGATATTGAATAATGAGTGTAGATTTATGTCTGATAAAAATTTGATCATTTTCCTAGTTAAATTTTATCTTAAGACTTAATTCATAAGATTGCTGTTTCAAAGATCAGTTTTGTGTGTTTTAAAAACAAATTATTTTCATTTCTCATAAATGTAATTGATACATATTTCAGGCTAGTAATGCAGACGAGTTGAATATGAAAGAACATGACATTTTAGAAATAATATCTGATGGTGATGGTGATGGATGGGTAAGGGCACGTAACTCTGATGGGAAGGTCGGCTACATTCCTCAGAACTACATTGAGATTCTGGAAAATGGAGGTATGGATCATTCTGATCAGGCTGACAGTACAACTCAAGCAGAACATACAGAGGGTGTAGAGATACATCCTGTCCATTCATTTGACCTACAGTCACCGGTCTCGGCCAATGATGCCACACAGGAAGTGACATCATATTCTTCAGGTGACATTGAGGTCCAGATGACAACCAATCAAATGTCCCCTGATAAACTACCTGTGGCTCCGGAAGGTGAATATTCTGTGTGTTCATTGGCTAATCCTTGGTTTGAAGTGATGTATTTATGATAAAGCTCTGTCTTTTCTTTAAAAAGATTTATTTGAAGTATTTTTGGAAAGTTCATTTCTATCTTTACAAATATTTCTTAATTATAAGAAAATTCTGTTGTTAAATCAGATTCTAGATTAATGTTAGAAGATAATGTATTGCAAGTTAGGATATTCTTTTTTCTTAAATGCGTTGAAATTGATTTGTTTGGACACATTAGTTTTAATGTACATTTTTCATTTCAATAGCCATTGTTTTCATTATACTGTTGGATGTATGTCATCACTTGATTACCCAAAAAATCAGTTTTCAAGGAAATTTTCTCATTCAGTACATTTGAGAAAACTTTTAGAAAAAGGGGAAAAAAATAATAATGAAAAAAACTGTGATAAGTTTAGTACTGTTTGAATAGTGACTTTCAATGTATCTATAAGACTGTTTTTCTTTGTAACAGAAGGTGTATGGGCAAGGGCATTATATGACTACGAAGCCATGACGGATGAAGAATTATCATTCACAGAAGGAACATTGATAAATATTATACGCAAAGATGAAAATGGTGTGGATGATGGCTTCTGGGAAGGGGAGATAAATGGCAAAGTCGGGGTATTTCCGTCCCTGGTTGTAGAAGAAATTGACACAAGTTCAGGAGGCCTGAATCTGGTAGGCATGGCATACCATCTTTTGTGTCATTTTACTTTACTGTAAATTCATTACAGCCAAGGTGGTATCAATATTTTGTCTTCAGTAATGAATTAAAATCAATTTGATGTCTTAAAATTTACAACTCATATCACACACTCAAAGTTGTGTTTTCTCTTGTGATCTTTAAGATGTTTTGTGGACTAAATTTCATAAAATTCAGACGGATTGGAAAACAGTTTCACAATTAATTCATGCATTAATGATACAAACAATGTAAGTAATATGGTGCAAGTTGTACATTTTTAGACTAGCAGTTAGTAAAAAAGAAGTTTTAATATCTTTTAATCTACACAGCATAGATTTCTAAAGCCATTTATTTCATATAGTTTTACTGTTGGTAATATAACCCCTTCATTTGAATCCACATTATAATCCTATTTAGCAGCCCTAAGGATGTGAGTAACTCATGCATCATGTAGTTTAGTCCTTGTGACCATTCACTGTCTGTCTTGACAACAACAAAAGCTCAGAAACTTCATTTTAGGAATTCAACGTAGATCTCTCAAAAAGCTTGTTCACTAGTTCAGCTTTAAGATTATAACTATAAGATTAAGACTATATTGTTGACAGGAAAACAATACATCTGACACCTTTCTGTTTTCAAATACATTACATGAATTATGATGTTATTTTTAAAGTTACCATCTCCGGATGATAGACTGGGGCCACCAGAGTTTGTGCCCCCTCCTCCTGTCACAATCACTGCAGCCACACCTGAGACAGAGGACCTACCTCGCCCCCTGTCAAACGGCACAGGTATGTACTTATCTGATCTGTTCCGGTAACATTGGTCTTATTTCTTTCATCAGCACAGGTAAATCTTTTTCGTCTACTTCTTCCTGTCATTCCACCCAAATTTCCAGCTTTGATTTTTGGGTGAAGAGTTCGGCTGAAATGCATGTTTGGTGTGCTAGCTCAGTTTGGTGTTGTATCCTCCTGTTAAAAGTCTGCAAAGCTTAAAAGACATCTTCATGCATCATAGTAGGAAAGAATTATCTTCAAAATTGCATCACCTGTCTTTCAAAGGACATGAAGTCCAAAAATATGTGTAAATATGAAAATACAACAAAAGGTCATTGAAAAGTTAAATGGACAGGTCAGTAATTTCAGTGTACTCAAATTCAAATATTTGCGAAATTGATTTATTAATTAATATTTGAATAAAAAGATGAAATTTGAAGAAAGGAAATTGCTATCTTGTGAAAGTTCAGGAAATATTGGCATAACTAAAGGGCAATTACTAATCTGTTAATTTGTTGTGAAAACTGAATGTATTGGAATCTTTAATTGATAAAATCATGTCTGAAAAATAAAGCCCTCTCTGCTAGCAAGAATTTCACAAGTGTTGTACGACTTCAATAGATTCCTCTGCTTTAATCAAGAATGCAGTGTTATTAGAACACAAGATCAGATGAAAAATTTTCTCAGAATGTTTTACTCAGCCGCAATCAAAACTTTTGTTACATTTGAGACATCTAAAACAAAGCATTTGATCGGCTAAACAAAATAGTAGTGCTCACAGGTTTGTGTTTGATCTTAGAAGCACTTTATTAATATCTTATTTTGCGGAATGTTAGATTTTCTGTTGCCATGGTTATCTGTTAATAATGATCTTGTGAAATGGTTTTGTTGAGTGGCCTGATAAATTGTTCTGGTTTTGCTTATGTTGAGTTACATATTAATTTTATTGTTGTGTGAAGGCAACAAACTGAGAACTCCTAACCAAAGGTAAGCCGAGAGTGATATGTTACAACTTATCTGATTGGACGACTTGTATCACCTGACTTTGTGTTGGATCATATGAACCATGGATGATGAAACAATCTGACATCTTTTGATGGTAGTTTTGCATTATAATCGTATTTGGTTGTATCTTCAAAAAATTAAACCAGTGCAATTAACCATCTATCTAGAAATAAGCCCATCCCTAGTAATCTGGTCATAGTCAGGACCAAGCGTGAGAAAGTGTTCCGATGAGTCATGAAAGACTTATTGTTTCACATGTTTGTATCAACATCATTTTGACTATATTAGGGTCGAAAATTGATTTTGGAATTTTGAAATAACTGATAAAAAATTATGAAATATTGGGTAAATCTAGCATTGTGATGTAAACATATCTATATATGACTAATATCAGATTATTCTGAAAAATCCTGGTGAATTGGTGACACTATCACCCACCTGAATTTCTGTGTTTCACAGCCCGTCTCTCCCTGTGGATTGATTCATTGCGGGATCGTAATGGTAAACTTTCCACTTGAGAATTTTTATCTGCTCAGCTTCAGATTATTTCATCATCCTTGAGGTTTGGGTCATGAACTTGTTTCAATTTATAGCTCTTTGTGGCATCCCTTCCTTGATATATGGACCCAGTTCATCTCGGTCACCTAAAGGTCTAAAGTTAAGGAGTTTCTTACAATAAAATGAAATATTTCTGCTAGTACTAATAAACTTATGAAGAAAGGAAGCAAGATTTTAAAGTTTGATATTTTGAAACAAAACTGAATTTTATGTATTGAAGATAAAGACAAATGATAGAATTAAGTCTCAGTAAATGGAGAAATTCCTGACCTTAGCTGCTGCTGTGATGAAATGGGTCTGTCCATTGTCTGCTGTCGGATTTCACTCCTTTTCATTGAAGTCTGTTTTTATATTTGTTGCATTTCAGCTAAACAAAGCCCCCATCGCTCATACTATCGCAGAAGATCGAAGCCCTCTGCCGTAAATCCCACTTCTTTTGAATCTACTGTTTAGGTAGTCAGGACATTCATCATTAATATTGCGGCTTTGGGCTTTACATGTTTTTGGGGTCATTGTGCACATCTAGTATACACATTAACATGAGAAAGTATTCCTTATCACAATTATTTTGAATGGTGGTTTTGATGATGTATATATATATTTATAACTGCACAAAGGTGTCAGGTCAACTTTACTAATATTAAAAATGTTTTCTGTCTCTGAAAATATTTCATTTTAATTATCATTTGTTAAATCTTAATTTGATTATTTTCAGCATTTAAAAAAATAATTTGAGAATTTATCTTTAAGGATAGAAATATTTGTTAAGATTAATCATAGCATTAAGTCAAACCAATAACTGGTAGATACTGCGATTTCCCAAGTTATGTCACAGTCAGGGGAACTAACTCTTGCTATAACCATAGACCAGGGGAACTAATTCTGTCACCTTTGTCTGCATACTAACAATTGGCTTTGTATTCTCTCTCTTTATATATATATCTTGGATTCAAAACAATAAATATCACAGTTTCTCCATGTCTTCAAAAAAAATTATACTTGTACCAATAAGAACTCTGTGGTAGATGAGTCTGAAACTTCACCTCAGAAAATACCTAGTCATATATACTTTGATAAAACATCTTTAAAGTTAAGAACAAAGTAGTGTTAATTAACATACTAATGATGGGTTATATATTTAACCACCCTGGCATGGAAAATATTAAAATGTTCATTGATTTCATCACAACATTTTTTTTATCTTTTTGTTGAAAGATGGATGATATTTTATTTTATTTTACATTGTTACATTGGTAGTAAATAAATGATAACAAACATCCAAAAACTTTAAATTTGACATTGCTTTTTAGTCTCAAGTATTTCTGAATGATGAAACCTGTTGTGTTCTATAAATTTTCAAATAAATAATATATTATACTTATTTGATTTAACTCTGCTCAGTGTCCATGGATAATCATTCATGTTCAGGTGTGTCTTTTAGGCATTAAAGTGAATGAGACCTTTACATAAATGCATATGCTTTTTGAATCGTTTAAAAGCTTTACAGCATAAGATATATATGCCTTAGTAGAATGTTTCTTCTTCTTTTCTTATCAAAGAAAAGTTCATGAAGAATGATATGCATGTTATAAATAAAGTATTTTAGAAATATTTTGAGTTGGTTTGCTTGTCTGAACAAAATATATATATGCATGGTTTTTGCAGCAAGATTATAGATTTATAGATTTAAATGGAGTATATTTGTAAATGTTCAAGTTCTGCAAAATCATTATGCTTATTATGATAAAATTCAGAAAAATATCATGTTTATTGAAAGAACTTAAAAAATATTTTGGTTAGAAATTACCATTTGTTTCATTCTCTTTTACCCGATTTGATAATAAACTCAAAAAGTTGATTTTCCTCAAGGGTTTAATTAGCTGAGGTAACAAACATTAAAATGATTTGCCTGCAAAAAAAAAAAAAAAAAATTGGCAATTTGAGAAGACAATAATATATTGTTTACCAGCAAGTAGTACCATGAGATGTTGTGGTTTAGTATCACTCAAACAACTGTTTTGTATCTTGTAGATGGCGCTCCTACAAGCAGTAGTCCTAGGAAGACGACAGAACAGGTAGTGAGCCTCGATTGTGCTAACTTCCATTGTGAAACATCAGTAGTTTGAATTGCCTTATAGTCTATGCATTTTAAAGGGAGGCTACTGGATTAGTAAAAAAAAATGAGGCTATTTAAAGAGAAACTACTGGATTACTTCCCTTCGTTTAATTATACCTCAATTATTGAAACTACCATTTTCTGGTTATTTGTGAAAAACAAAATCCATCCAAATGCTTTACTTTGTCCTAAAATGTATTTATTTGTTCATAAGGGGAGGAAATCTGAAAGATCCTTTATTTTGTTTGAACATATAATTAAAACAATTTTTAAATATTTTCTCTTAAAAACCTTTATTTTAATCAATACTGTTTATCTAAACCTTGAAACTGTTTTAATGCCTGAATATTTAGCAATGTGTATTGTGCCTTTTGTGCCAGAGGGGAACAAATCCAATACAAGTGTAGTTGAAATATCATTGTTTTGTATATGACACCTTCTGTTACTAGGTTTAAAAGTTTAAAAACATATCTTGACATATTGCTATGAATCTATCATTGGTTGTCAAATTCTCTGTTTTTTTTTAACTGTGGGTACAGTGGGTTCTGTTATCCATCAAAGTTTTGTTGAGAAGACAAAAACGACTCTTTGTATGGTCCCAAACAAACGCCATTTTTTATTACACATAAATTTCTTATTGAAGCGTATTGGTGATTGATCAATTCCACTTATTCATTTCATGCATCTCAGGCCTCTGTCACCCAATAGGTAGGTATGGTGTGTGTGTAGGTCCTGTTTATACTGCAGGTAGCCTTTTTAATTTAAGCTTCAATGTACTTGTTACAGGCAGGGTAATAAGATGTGAGGAATTATGTAGACATTATGATCCTTCATCCATTGGCATTAACACGTATATTATCCCCTCATCAATTGCTCTTTTCTAGACTAAAACTTTAAAGATTGAGATCTTATAAGAATTTACAGCATTATTAAAACTTTGGAAATATTGAAATAGTACGACAAGAATTTTTTTTCTTTAATCTTTTTTTTCTTCAATCCTAATCATTTATGGTGAAATACTTATTCAAGGTTTTATTTTTTTGTGTACCAAATTCAGATTTGAACCAGTCAAAAGTGCCTTTTGTCATGGTGACTTTTTATAAGGTCCAGAGAAATTCTTCATTTCTTGAAGTTTCTTCCTCTGCATGATTATCTCCCTTGAAAGTGGATCTCCAGTCCAGTACATCAGTTGCACTAGAAATCAATTATTTAACATTTGTATTGTCTTTTTTCCTACCTGAGAAACTGATTTCAAAATATAAGGGGAAAGCCGGGGACAAAATAATGGGGGGTCAAAGGAAAATTGATAGGAGGAACATTTGATATAACTGGAATAATGTTTCCAGACAAGTTCTGGACAGTCAACCACATGAGAATGATGAATTTCTCCCTTGTATTATTTTCTTAGTCTGTAGATTAGAATGTTGTCAGATCCCTTCTTTGAATTTTTTATACCTAGAAAGTTAATTTCAAATAGGCACAGAATTTTTCGTTTAGTTTTTATTTTGGATTTAATATTGTTTGTGTCACAGTATTATCAAGAAAATTGATAAATCTTTGTAATTCTGTACATTTTGTCAAAGTTTTGTTAAAAGTTAGTTTATTGGAAACCATTTTGGCATCTGTAACAAAGTGTCATCATGTCATGACTCATAAAACAGATAAAATGTTGTCACCATCGCTGTATGCTCAGGAGATGAATTTCAGTGATTTGAACTTGAGAACAGCAGAATACATATGAAGTCAAAACAGAAATTGCCTTACATTTTCACAACTCAAGATTTTGATAAAACTTTTCTTTGGTTGACAAAAAGACCACAGAAAATTATAGTTCAAGGTTAGAAATTCAAAAATAATATTTGATTAATCATTTTCTGTAATTAAAAATGACTGCTGTGGTGTTACAGAATACATTTCCCAGTCTCGGTTATATTTCAGACTTTCAGGTTGACATTATCACAAAAGTTTCCTCATTGAAAAAACAGTTTCAAACAGTATTAAATCATAACATGTACCATATGTTGATGATAAACATTTGTCTTTTTCAGTATTATAGGCGTGTACGACAGAATAAAAGCCAAGGCCGCCACGGCTGTCACTCCCCGCACCATCACCCTGGTGGCAGTTACGGTCCACCCCACAGTAGAGGTATAGTCTCGGCACGAGTTAGTGGTCATGTACCTGCACAGGTGTGTGTTTCTCGCCAGGTTGGTGGCAGTCTGGCATACATGGACTATGACGACGATGAGGGAGAGGTGTCTATAGTATGACCCCTGGTCCCTTTAGTGCCCCACCCCTGGGGACTTCAGTGTGAATCCATAGTATATACTGCACCAGTATTTTCTGGTAGTTCCTGTGTTCAGAATGATATTGTGACATTAACACTTGTTTAATAACATTGACATGATATTTTTAAAATCAAATGTTGCTCTATGAGTTATGATATTTAGGGTCAAAGTTCATGACTGCATTTATGACCTTTCAGATCAGATGAAACTTCAGATGCTGTTTTGTATCAAGGGATCAAGTATGATTGAACAATATTTGTCAACGTTGTCACAAAGGGTCTTTTAAGACATGTTACGTTGGAATCAAAGGTCACACTATGATGTTATTCGGATTTAAATGTCATACTATATCATAACTTGAATTTTGAGGGTTCAAATTTTATCATACAACTTTGGTCAAAGTTAATGATGATGATAAACTATTTTTCATGAAATTTTGCAGAGTTTCATATTGGAAACGTAGTATTTGATGTTGTTAATTATGTAACAGCTTGCATTTGATCCATTTTATGCTAAGATAAAACATCATTGAAATGCATGAAAGGTGACAGATTTAGTGCTTTAGGGTATCAACAGTATGACAGGAATTGGGAAGGAAAGTAACATACTGTTTGTGGCTTTCCAAAAATCAGTCGACAACTGTAACAATGAGAGACTCTTTAAGACTTTTAGCCTGACTAAACTAGTCACTCAAGTTGTAACACTGATCAACAGGTTTAGACTTCTAAGAATTTTCTGTGATAAAAAAAAAAAAAACATAACATGGAGAAAATAAACAACTGACATTCTTTTCTCATTTCAAGTTAGCAGCTGTGTATTTATTCAGGATCGTCAGCTTTAATGTAAAACTTAAATTTTTTTAAACTTTATGTGAAAAGTAAAATGTCATGATATTGGAAATTTAAATAGTAATATTATGAATCAGGAAAAGGCAAAATATTATAGTAAATAGTTATTTCACAAAAAACGTATTTATAAATTTGAATTTATGTTGCATACTATGATGTTATTTTCACTAGTGTGATTAACTACTGTTACATTTATAGCAATTACATATATAGGTATTTGAGGTAAGATATGAAAAGGTGTGATACAAGAAAAACAGTCTGTCAGAGGTCAAAAGGTCGTATAACTCTAGTCAATACTGGGAGCATTTACAATGCATGAAGTTTAAAATATTTCAATCTACATTTATGACATTTTAGAACCTGATCCTCTGTTATGATGAGGCACCTGATAATAATTTTCACTCACTGTTAATAAATACATATGATTTATGCTATGAAATGTAAAAACAGCCCCCCTGCATATTTGATGAGTAATAAGTGCTAACTAACAAACCTAAAACACAAATAGACATCCACTTTTAAAGGTTATAATTTTCAAGGTTAAAGATCTGAAAAATGTTTCTGATATTTTAGATCTGAAAATCACTGACACAAGTGCTACCCTTCGTTTTTCCCCCTTTCTTTTGAGGTCTTTTTCTGATCTGCTATTTATAATTGACAAGTATTTCAGAATTCAATCATTGTACAACAATGAGCCAAACAAAAAATGTTTCTGAAATTAATTTTGTTGCATTAGATGTGTTATGTCTTTGTATGTACTTTGTTTAACTTTTTCTGACACACTGCGATTTCACACATGCTGCTTTATGCTGTGTTACAGTGTAAAATGGAGATCTGGAGTTATTTGATGTTATTATGCACTTTATTATGCAATATTTAATATTTAAACGGTAATATAGTAATTTGTAGATCATCAGTTAAAATTTTGTACATACAGATTTTTATTGTATATGAAGTTTAGTTTTAATATATATATACTGTACAACAAACCATTCCATATTTGTACACGTGTCATATTTATAAGGAAAGCTTGGTTTTAACAAGATACAATCTATTGGGCAAACATTTACTAAAACAAAAACATGTTGAAAGGATTTTAGCTGAAGTAAGTATGAAAAATAATAAGTAAATTTGACCCATATACAGACATTGTTATAGGAATGTCATTTTTTCACCACCAGTCAGTTACATAGGAATCTCTTTTCAACTCATCATTTCTATATAGTTATTTAATATTGATCTGCTCATTTCAAATATCACATGTATTTAAGACATTGATGGAGTATAATCTTACAGATTTATGTTACCGACACAAATTCTGTATGTCTTATATTGTAATATTCTGTAAGAGGTATTCAGAGTTGTGTCACATCAGAAGCCAGATTTGAGTTTATGTTTACAATTGTGAAGATTTATGGTGACTTATCTCCCTTTCTTACAGTATCCTTATCTCCCCTAACACAAGTCATCCTATTGGCTTTGGCCTCATTCATGGTCTCTCGCAAAAGAGAACAGAGTTTTTGTTTCATGATATTGTTTTATGAATTCCTTTTGAATATTTAGTTATTGTTTCCTTCAATTTATTCATTTAAGTTCAAGAAAACACTAAAGTGATGATTTAACATCATAATCTATATAACATGAAGTATCTGGTTACATCCCCAACATTTCTGAGATATAATTGACATTAAAATGGACTGACTAATATTGAGTTCTGAATAGTTCAGGATGTTTACTTCATAAAACACACACACGTGCCAAAGAATGTGTTTAATTTATCATAACTTTATGTTTGGTGCTTTTTGTTTAATTGATACATCTTTCGGGAAAATTTGTGTGTTCATTGTCATGGTTTATCTCCCCTTGGTAAGAAATCTTTTGGGAACCACAACATTCTGTCACCTGGGTTTGTTATTGTGTCTTAAATTGGTCAGCTATGCATTGTATTATCTTCTGACCATGAGGGTTCTCTCAGGAATTATTTGAAGGTCATTGTTTTCTTGGAAGGTCAATGAGGACACAGTTGGGTTCTATTTATTGATTCAGTGTTGTATTGATTGTATTGTAAATGTCTTGTGTCAAAATTGATCTTTGTGTAAATGTAAAAAAAATAGCAGGATGTTGATGATATTGTGGAAATTTCTGAATATTTTGCTTTGATACCTTTTCTTTTGAGAAGAGGAAAAAATTCTTGAACTTGAAAATTTAAGTAGTTGAAGTATGTATTTATTGACTGATGAATATTAACCAATCATCAAAAATAAATCATTTTTGGATGAACAAAGTACAGCAACTATAGGAGGAGAGAAACATTGACCAGTAGAATTGTTTTCATTTATGTAATGCAAAATTTCACCCATTGAAAGATGGAAAGTAATAATGAAGATTCTATTTGCCACAAATTCCCCGACAGTCTTTTGCATTATCCAGTAGCATTCCTAGTAGCACCAACACCTGACCAATCAGCTGACACCTATGGAGGTCAAAGGTCAAGTGTGATGTATAAAATAAGAAATGTTTCACCGTTTGTGATGAAATAAAATGTGATATTCAGATTATACCATGGAGGAGTTTGTTTTTTCTAGGATACAGTATACATGTATATAACTGGAATAATATACATTATTGGTAACGTCTTTCAATTTTATAGCATATTTACACATTACATGTCTAAATACATATTTACAAAGGGATGTACAGTAAGATATTTACAAAGAGACAGCTGTGAATATGAGCAGCAAATTTGTTCAAACAATATATGTACCTGGGTGAAATCTCTTCTGAACAAATTAGTTAGCATATTGATTGTTGAAAGTATTGAATTCACTGAAGAAACACTATAATTTTACCTCATCTATCCATGAGAAAAATCATTGAAACATTTAATCATTGTTCGAAACAATACATAAAGTTGTGCCAATTCAGTGGAAAAATATTCTTTTATATCATTATAATGGTAAGTAAAAAAAATCCACTTTGTGGCAATGAACATCTGAAAATTATCAGATACATTTCAATAGGTGGATTAATCACTCATGAGTACTTTTATGTACAAAAATGAAAATGCATAGTTAGTATACTGTCATGGAAAGACCTCAAAGCAGAACGTCACAAAACAGAGTAATTCACTGCCACAATGATAAATATTAATAGATATTATCTGACACACTACTCCTATTACTCACTACTACTGGCCAAACCCTTACGACAAAAAAACATAAAGATATGTATTGACCTGTAAAAAGTTGTCATGCATCTGGTACTATATATGTTTGTTAATATTCCAACAACAGTTTGGTGTTTACACTAATAATAACAGGCCATGGGGGCTTGCTTGCTGGGATCATTCTCTCATACTTAAAACACTAGTGTCTAGGTACTGGCAAAATTTCCTAAACAATGCAATACAAAAAAAAATTGTTTTCATTTTCATCAACTTGTATATCCATATGGCAACCTATCTTTGAAAACCATTTAAAGTAAATTTGGAAGCTATTACTGTCAAAATATGACTAGAACACTAGACTTCCACAACCAAACAGGAAAACAGCCTAGCGCCATGGTGATAAGCCCATTAAGTTTGAAAGAGATGGATAGAATAACTGGTAGGAGATCTTTAGACAAGTAAAATTACAACCTACCACTATATCTCCAGCCCGAACAAAACTGAACCATGATGACTTGAAGAATTTCATTTAGTATAAAGATATTTTTATAAATTGTAAAAAACAAAAGCAAGTGTCATCATGAATTGGATTTGTGAAGAATAGTTTGACTTCATCAAGTAAACTGTTACATCTCAAAAAGCATCCAAAATTTTGCCAGTAGCAATCTTTAAATAAGACCTTAATCTCCTTGACTTTTGTTGTACTAACAAGACAAGCCTTATCAATTATTCATCAAATGCATCAAAATATAAGCTGATGCTTGATATAAGTCCACCATCCTCTGCTAATGTAGTTCATTAAAATGGTTATTAATAATATCAATACATGTACTATTTCATTGTCTTGTATGAAGATGCACTTCTACAACAGTTATGTCCCCTAAGATAATTCATTACTGTAAAAAGATGCTGGCAGGCTTAAAAAAATCTTCTCTTGGGACTGGTATTTTGCCAAGCAATGACCATCAGGGTGCAAAGCATTGCATATGATTAAAGTCAAGTGAAGGCTAACAACAGGACAATGAGATAGCTATAATGGACAGTTATACTTCAGTAAGGTACTGTAAGTCCATGGGCTTACAACAGGACAATGAGATAGCTATAGTGGACAATTATACTTCAGTAAGGTACTGTAAGTCCATGGGCTTACAACAGGACAATGAGATAGCTATAGTGGACAGTTATACTTCAGTAAGGTACTGTAAGTCCATGGGCTTACAACAGGACAATGAGATAGCTATAGTGGACAGTTATACTGCTGTAAGGTACTGTAAGTCCATGGGCTTACAACAGGACAATGAGATAGCTATAGTGGACAATTATACTTCAGTAAGGTACTGTAAGTCCATGGGCTTACAACAGGACAATGAGATAGCTATAGTGGACAATTATACTTCAGTAAGGTACTGTAAGTCCATACTTCAAGGTTTTCAACATCAAACCTTCAATCATACATACATATAAACACCCTTTTAGGAGAACGGTGTGTAAGACTTGTATTATTTATCTAATAACTTGGAAGCTGTTGTGGTCCTTTGAATAACCCTGGATGGATCATAGCTATGACACAACTGCCCTGTATTCCTTCTTGTGTCCAGCTGAAGAGTACAGGCCACCTGGATCTGCACTAAGATAAACCACAGTGTTGGCTCTATCCCTTGTACCTTTTTTAACTCTTAAAAGTGTGTGACATCTGCTTTTACCAAAAAGACAACACTATATGTTATCATATCTAAAATGGCAGTTTCAGCCGTGAACCATCCAGCTGCATTGATCCAGTGATTAACAGACAATCAATTGTTTTTAATTCAAACTTAGAGAAATTTCAAATTGGCAAAAATACCACTGAAACAAGTTTGCAACTTTGTAGCATTTTTCTTTCAATTCACTGGCCATTTTCTGCTGGTTTTGATAAACAACACTGGAACAAACAAACCAATACTACAGAGAATTTTCCAACAGCTAGAAGCTTTCAAGGTTACCTCCCTTCTCAGTTGCTCTTCAGTTGATATTCTAGAGTTATCTCCCTTAAAAACTGATAGATTGAGTTATCTTCTTTCACACTCGTACATTTATAATTAATTTCACTTTTGTCTTCATAATATCTTACACTCCTGCTGTGCAGTAAAAATGTACATATTTATGAGTAATGTTTTAGCAGAGAATGTATAACACACACTATCTTTGGTTAATAGACAATGAAACAGGTAAAATATCACCTGAGACTTAAGTATATCACCAATATACACAGATAGGCAGTCCAAACTTTCCAGTAAAGCTCAGCTGCGTGTATTCAACAAGAAACTGCTGGCAGTGTGGAGCCACACATCAAATTGGCATAAATACAATATAAGCACTAGATTGTGTCCCTATTTGGAGATCTTTATCCATGAGAATTATTTGATCTTCATGCACAGTTAACATAACAACAGCTTGATCTTTGCCAGGAACCAGAAGATTGCTTCAAGCAAGTCCAACATTGTTATAATATCAAAAGTGCAAACATCAGTATATTTTATTCAGAGGTCATTCATTGCCACATGACTTCCAGAGGTCATTACACCAGGTTATGCCCGTTGGTCACTCGTCACGTAATGTCCTTGCACAAACAATGTAGGACTCGGTCAGTCTTGAAGATGACTCCATTAAGAGCCAGATGATCCCTGGCCTGGACCTTGGCGTACTTATTGATCCAAAGGGTGCCAGAAGGCTCTATCTTGAATGCGACAGGTTCAAGCTGCCGCGACATCAATGAGTACGTCGTGGACATGTCAAGGCCACTGGAGACCACCACACGGTCTATTATGTGACGGGCAATCAACTGTAAATAAAAATTATAACAAAATTATGAACATGGATTATCATTGTTCAACAAGAAGCTTGAACACTGTTTTGTTTAAATTGTTACAGGTAGGAAATTCAGAGAGAGCAAAAATGACACCAACTAACAAAATGTTTATAAATAGTTAAACAACTTGTAATTCAATTTGATAATCTTTGGTAAATTTGAGAGTAGTAGAAAGTTTTCTTTTTTCTCAGATCTTAACAACAGGATTTATAGACTGCTATAATGCACTGTCCTCCTGAAAGCTTGAATCCTTCAAAAAGTTCCACCTGGGAAAAATAGGAACTTAATATGTAGCAACCATGTTTAAGGTTCCTATACATATACATAAAACATCCCTACTCTGCTATTTCTTGGTTCAATAAATCTTGCCCTTTCACACACACAAAATAAGACTGATTCCATTTACCCTGAAAACGCTTTTTACCAAATCCCACAAGGTAAACTTTTATTGCTAGGTTAACTACCTCATTTTGAGGCAGAGCCTCCATATAGCGACTGATGGTTACCTCACACTAAACAACACACGAGATGACCGTCAAATGCCACCCAGAACAATGAAGGTAAAGTATCTTGCACAAGGACACAACCATGTCAGCAGAATCTACTCTGTTTTCCAGGTTTTTGAGAAACACAAAACACAAGTTTGGGAGCTGGGATCCACACACCTCGGATCTTCACCTAGGGTTATGTACACCAACACTTTAATCCATAAACTATCATGGCCTGACCTTGTAGAAGCAGCTGTTTACTACCTCACTGAGAAATGAAATGGAAGCTTGTTGCATGCCATCCAAAGCAATTGAAACTAGAACACTGACAGGTCAGCAAGGCCCTGCTTTGTAGCTGGAAATTCCCCCTGGGTCTGGAAAGTAATCCCTACCAAGCACTTTTATTAAGGAAGCATTGTAGGAAGTTTGAGTTTGATTGACCCAAGGGAACCCAAGTTATATCATAGAAACAAATTTTCTACTAAGAGTAACAGTTATCTTGACTTGAGTTAAACTTGATTGCAGGAAAACTGATTTTTCTAATTATAGCAACAGTGACTTTGACCTTTGACATTCAAAAATGTAAATCAATCCCAAGCAAACAATATCAGAAATGAAGTAGTGTAGGAAGTTTGGGTTAGATTGGTCCAAGCAAACTCTAGTTTTCACATGGAAACTGATTTTCTATTTATAACAACAGTGACCTTGACCTTTAACCTTTGGACATGAAAAGTTACATACTCCAAGCAAGCACTTCCTTCAAGGAGGCTTGGCATAAAGTATTGGCCTTACAGAATTCAAGATACTGTACAGAAATGAAAAAATGGACAGACAAACGAACAAGCTGATAACTATAGGGCACCACATCTCGCCCTAATAAGAGCCTTGCCCAAGGACACAAACTTTGATCCTGTGACCACATTGTATATTGCCCCTACACCTCCCAAGAACTGAACTTGATTTTCTGAGGGAATTTTTTAAAAACTACTTTTGTTTACTCGGTTTTAATTTCCATTCTTAACATGAAATATTAAGATATCTTATTTTGTTCAAAAAGAGAAAAATGCTTATTCACAAGTTTATACACATCATATATTCATCCCTAAATAAGTTCACGGGGCAAAACTACAAAGCCTGACTCGAAGGAATGAGGTGGGCTTATTACCAGACATGGATTTACTGCTGGATAGATAGGGTACATGCCCTATATATAATCTCACCCTCTTTAGCTTTTCTTTATTCTTCATATAATCCTCCCTGGTGTAGGTCGGCATTCTGTAGAATGCATCTGTAGTAGGGGCAATTACTGTTAATTGTTTGTTTGGTTGTTGTTTGAACAGATCCTCTAGTCCTGCTTTCTTGATAGCATTTGTGAAAACCCTGAGAAAAACATGATGGAATGTAGAAGAGCCTCACAGAAAACATTGTAGGAAGTAGTTAATGTGATAATTTGTTTTCTTGTCAAAACATATAACTGTCTAAATGATAAATGTACAACACAAAGGTAGGTTAAATCAAGTAAGCATTTAATTCTCATGGAAATGAAAACAGCTTCAAGTCTGGAAAGTTAATTTTTGCCATTAAGTTGAGAATAAAAATTCAAAATGAACTTAACATATTGTACATATTGTGTATTGCTATTCCTACAGGTAATCGGACATGCTATATTTGGCAGGTATAGCTGTGAATCTACCCTCTAACAAGTGAAACAGAGAGTAAATGATGTGTTAAGCGAAAACTGTTAGTCTCATTTGGACATAATTATGATGGAATTAAAAATATTCTTTGATAAAATTCATTTGTTGGATATTCCAGAAACACATGCTGATATCACTTACTCAAGTTCTGGGTCAGATTGAATGAGTTCCAATAGATTGAGCTCCGGTGGAATGAGGACTTTGTCTATGATATGAATGAGCCCATTGGAACTCTCCATGTCACTGTCGACTATGTGGGCACTGTCAACTGTAATGCCCTGGAGTACAAATTATAAACATGATGCAAGTTGACCTAGACCTTCAATTACATGGTAACACAAAAATGATCTCGATCATGAACTTACATTATTATACACAATGACCTTGGCCCTGAATTACATCTCAATACAAAAAGACCTTGACCTTGACTTCATCAGGATACAATGAACATGACTTACATTATGCCATGACCTTGACCCAACTTACATTGTGATAAACTCCGACCTTGATCCTGGCGTCTATACCAGTCCTAAGTGTCTGTTCCCCTACTAATGAGTCTGTTCTCATCCTCCCCTCTAAGGTGTGGTACTTTAGCATTTGCTCCACCAACCCAGGTTGCTCTTGTAGAGCCTCTTTGTAAATTGGTGAAAGAGCTGCAATAGAAGTATGCAATATAAGTTAGTTATTAAAGTGATATACAGCATGTTGTATGATATTTAAATCCCACTGCTACCATATTTGTGTAAAGTAGAATCTTCAGCCCTTGTTGAAAGTCAAACCAAAATATAATTTACATGGATATCAAGGCAATGAGTTTCTATAAAAGTCTGTTCTATTGCAACAGGGGGTCAGACATGAAGATGTTTATAGAGTTCTGTTCTAAGTTTAATGTTAACATATTGATTATTGACCGATTAATTTATTTACCTTATTATCCTAGCTAGCTCAAACTGGCCTTGTATCAAAACTGACTCCAGCACTTACGTTACCATACATGTATATATAGCTGACTTCTAGGATCTAAGATTTAGTGTCAAATATTACTTCTTTAGCGTTACTATTCTTTTGACAAAGAAATATGTTCATATCATATGATCCAACAATAAGTTTTTTTTTAATCCGTTACCTTCAAATGCTGCATCATTAGGGGCAAACCATGTATACTCAGGTCTACTTTGAACCCAATCAGCCAGCCCCGCCCCGTGGACAAGTTCTGTCAGGCGTGTCAGATCTAGTTCGTGTGCCACTTGGAGGATATCTTTTACTGTAGCAAAATTATAAGGTCAGGTCCTCTATAACAGCTAAAATTTGATATTTCGGCAAAAACATTGATTTTTTTTAAACTAAAACACAAGCAAAGATCATGACCGATGAAACTGCAAACTAGTTGCAACCTAGATAGACTCAAGTCTGATTGCTTTCCTCTTTTTGGAAAAATTGCTTTAAATATCTCTCTAAATATATTGCCAGAAACATAAAAAAATGACAATACTTTGCTTGATAAAATATTATAGTCATAGTGTTTTTGTACATTTATATTGTTCCGTTGATAGTATATGACTGACATTGACAGGACATCACCTACCTGTATTTGGTAGAAGGACTTTGTTGATGATATGAATGACGCCGTTCGTCGTGACAATGTCCTCCTCTATCAATTTGGCATCGTTGACGTAGTTACCGTTAAATTTACAGATGAAGGCAAGAAATCCTCCTTCCATGGTTACCAGCTGGGCGGACACCACAGTGGACGCAGCACAGTAGGTGTTCTTAACAATGTGGTATTTAGCAATGGCTGAAACACATATAAGCTCAATGCAATATGCCCAACGGCAATGTCTGAGGGAAAATGGGAAAACAGTTGCCTATTTGAAGAACATTTGGAACGTAAATAAGTCTAAACTTAGCAAATTTTCTTCTGAAATGACTGTCATTTCTAGAAGCTAGAATCTGACCAGATGTAGAAATTGACGTTATATCATGATACTCTCTAGCATATATGAACCATTCATAAGATATGACAATGATTTGGAAAGGGATGGAGTAGGAAGACTGGATATGGATATCCCCCTCCTTCATCTTCTAAAATGGTGAGGTCATAAAAATATTAGAAACAAGAGGCCTAGCTGCCTTAACATTTACCTGAGGTAAGCAATATTGAATATAAAGGTAAAAGGATAGTTATCAATTGTCATGAAACAGAAATTGTGACAATGAATATAGTAAGCCAGTGTCAATACATACATACCATCAAAACTGTCATCCTATACTAATACTTCTTACAAAGTTATTACCAGATGGAAAGGGAACCAACGTTATGCTCAAAAATACAATTTTTTCTATGAAAATTACAGTTAAATATAAAACAAGAGATCCCAGAGGGATCTTGGTGCCCACCATTTGAGGATCTGTTTTCAGTTCTTGAAGATTTGTTTATTTTTTTTGTTTGTTACAGGTGTTGTAAATGTTCATGAACTGGTCTTCATTGAATGTACTCAATGATGGCACAAGATATTTTTATTAAGCACCTATTACCAAATATCATTTTAAAAAAATCCCAAAGTATTATTACATAGCAGTCAGTTACAGGTGGATAATGGACATGGTCTTGAATCAATATGATAGAATATCGAAGAAAATATGCTTGTGCTGTATTACTGTCGACATCCAAGATGGCTGCCTGTGGGCCACCTAGATTTCAAATCAGTCCAAAAAAGGGGCAATGCACAACTAGGGACCAAGGGAAACCAATACATATGAAATATCAGAAGGATCCATCCAGTACTTCCTCAGAAATAGCAGTAACAAGATTTTACTTTCAAATCCAAGATGGCTGCCTGTCAGCCATCTTGATTTCAGATCAGTCCAACAAGGTACAATGCACAACTAGGGACCAAGGGGAACCTGCATATGAAATTTGAGAAAGATCCATCCAGTACTTTCCCAGAAATAGCAGTAACAAACTTTTTTAATCCAAGATGGCCGCCTGTCGACTTTCCTTGTCTCTGATGTGATCAATGTTTATTGAAGTGACCTTCACAGCCTTCACAGTTGACCTTTTGATCCCCAAATCAATCCTACCCTATATATTTTCTAATGATATTAAATTGAATCAAGTTTCAATATAATGGGCTATCTGGAACCCAAAATTTGACAAATAATATATATTTTTAGCAACAGTGACCTTCGTAGCTGACTTATTGATCCCAAACTCAATCCCATCTGTATTACCTCATTAGCTAACAATGCATAAAGTTTTCACCAAATCCATTAATCCTTTCTGAAGTTAGCATCTAGAAACCAAAACTTGATGAAAAATATCTTTATAGCAACAGTGACATTGGAAGTTGACCTTTCACCCCCAAACTCAATCCCAATCTGTATTACCTCATAACTTACGTGGTAATATTGCAAGAAGTTTTATTCAAATCTATCCTTCTTTTTTTAAGTTATCATTTGGAAACCAACATCTGGACAAACAGATGGACACACAGACGGACACACAGACGGAGACAAACACTATATAGTCCCTCAGGTTTCACCAGCAGGGGACTAATAAAACAAAGTGAACAGGGACTCACATAGATATACCCCACATTTCCTCACCTTATAATCTCATAAACAAACTTTTTATTTCAATAGTGTCCAACAGTGACCTTTTACCTTTGACCTTGACTGATCACCACCAACATCTAACCATGTGAAAACCTTTGTGATTATGAACTAAATCTGTCCATGGGTGCATGAGAATCACAGGCGCATGCACGCACACTTGCACAAATGTACAAAGAGGTTACTACCCCTTCTCTCCTTTACATACATAGGTGGGAGATATAACGGACTGACCTACCTGTAGCCACTTTCCTGTCATTGCTTATTTTATTGTTGAGTCCTGAAGACAGACGTCTGAAGGCTTTGTCCTCGGGGATGAACAGTGTGAAGTGTTTGGATTTTTGTAGTGTGTCAATAAGGTTAGCCTTGTATAACATTTGTGAAAACTTGGTCAAACGTTGGTCTCGTAGAATTACATCAGCGATGGTTCCTCTGTAGTCTAGTGGCCGGATCAACTGTTCAAAGAGTGTACTACAGTCATAGAAGTGATGAGCATCTTTCCATACAAATTCACAATCTAGAATATTTAACCAAACTGCATCATACTGCTGTTTTGTCTTTCTGGAACTCATAAGTAATGCTATGGGCATGAAAGGGATGCAACTAAGAAATGTTAAAACCCAGATGAGGAGGTCACTAGCAGTGGCCCCATCAGGCAAAGATGGCTGATGAATTATCTTGTCTAGAAAGATGTTAATTTTGTCATATGTAGCAATTACGTTGAACTCTGACCTATAGTTGAGACCCTTATGTATAAAAACCTACCCTGTCTATGACATGCAGTATTCCATTACTGGCCATTTGATTGGGCACCATAATCCGCGCACAATTCACCGTAGCAACCTACAACAAAACAACATTAATCTGTAGACAAACCAACAAATCCTGTATTTTGAAAGCATTGTCCATTAACATCAAGAATTTTAGTTTTAAATACATCAGGATGCAAAGACTTCCTCCCCCATCCCCACTGAATTAGGTACATCACTTACCCAACTGAATTAGGTACATCACTTACCCCACTGAATTAGGTACATCACTTACCCCACTGAATTAGGTACATCACTTACCCCACTGAATTAGGTACATCACTTACCCCACTGAATTAGGTACATCACTTACCCCACTGAATTAGGTACATCACTTACCCCACTAGGATATTTGTTTATCCGTAACTTCTTTTCAGCATAATACAGTGTTGGAACCTCCTCCTGTTTCTTGAATGTTGTGTAGTTATATCGCCCAGTCACGACGTGGTAGTGGAGGAGAGACGGGGCGTGGTATGTCCAGGGATGGAGTCTTTGTCTGATAACAGAACAGTAGTGTGACATCTAACTCTGTATCCTATAGAACCACAGACCAGTTAAACCTGTGGTAAGTGGTCACCTACCATGGGTGGTTTTAAAACACAGTCTAACATAGAAGTCACTGCAGGGATTCTAAAAGTGTCTCACAACACTGGCAGTCTCTTGAGAGGAGGTCTCTCAAGCAGGTTAGAATGTACTGTGTAATGTTGACTTCACTTTCATTTTACAATAACTTTCGTGTGTTTAGAATACCTGTTTATTGAAACTAGTGTCGCATAACACAAGTCAGATAAAAGAAAAAATCTGATCATGGAATTAGGAAAATTCTTCAAAATAGGTTTGTATAAGTTTAGGAAGAATACCTGTCGTCATAGGTGATATTTTCAAAGGCCTTGTCGATCGGTACAAACACAGTAAAGGCTCCTTGGTAGAGTAGGTTCCCTTCCAGTTCAGTGTTAGTTAGCAGCTGAGGGAACTTCTGCTGGAGCAAGTCTAGGGCAGTGAACTTCAGGTTCTGTAGAGGCTGAACTGAATACAACAGCATAGTCATTTCACAATACAATTTCACCTCAAATTTGTTTCCATAGATACAAAAAATTGCCATTTACCAAAGGTACACCAAATTGTCAGTTACTGGATGTTTCCATGTATACATAAAAACATTAGTTACACATCTGCCTGTCTGTCACCATGGATACACAAAACTGTAAGTTACCATGGATACACACAATTTTCTGTTAAATTCAAAATGGAAATACATAATTGTCAGTTACCATGGATATACAAATATTCACTATTTTCACTTATTACTAAAAGGATATTTCCCAAGCTCTATGGTAGGACAGAGAAATGATCTTCCCTAGTAGGAGATTCTTGATTTACTTCGATTGATGGTCCGACAAGTTTATGAATAGTACATCATATATATGTTCTATTGAGAATTGAAAAAAAAAATCTCCTTTCTCTCCTTTGTTTCTTAAAAATGTTACCTAATTCAAAGTTAGTCTCATGAGAAAATTCCTCCAATTAATAACACCCCATTTTCCTCTCTCCAATCCTAGTGCATGCTAGGTGCACATTTTATGTTTGCATCAGTGGACAAGTAACTCACACAAGTCCCCGCCCCAATTTACACAAGTGTGTGAGTGTATACCTTTACTCCAGATAAGCTGTGAACACCCAACTAAATGTCCAAAATTTACTTGACATTTCACATTTTTAAACAGTATCTTTGAGGTTATATCGGACAATTTGATAAAACATTTAAACTAGGAAATGTCATTTGGACAAACTAATACAAACATGCACAGTCAGATGCAGTTTTTTCTTAAACAAAAAGAACATCAAATAAAGAGTGAATTTGTCATGAACAGTTTAGTGGGACAAGAACTGTAAATCAACAAATACAGTAGAGTCACTTAACTCTAAACTCATTTTTAAAATACAAGCTCTAATTCTACTTTTTTTAATTTAAAAGGATGATTTGAAAATTTCAAGTGTAATGAACCAGTAATCTTCAGAAACATTTTCACTATAAAATCAAAATGCAACAAATTCTTCAGCTTTACAATTTTTTTATACATTAAATGTTTGTTAATTCAATAAAAGCCCCTCTACAGATGGTCATTTCCTACATTAAACCCCTTTCTTCTCTCTATTGACCAATCATGACTTACCACACAATCAACACTTTGTATCAAATGATGAATTTCTACAGTTTCATATCATTAGTCCTCATTAAACCATGAGAAATTTTAACATTGTAACTCGTAAATTTTAAATCAACAATCGATTCCATTGTCTGACTGAAAGCGTTTGATCGATTCTGAATTCTATTTCAGTTTTTATAGACCCCCTATTGATAACTTAGTGTGTTAAACAGTTAATGTTCATTTGTATAAGCTGTATAAAGAACTAATGTTACCTAACACTTCTAAATACAATTTTTAATTATTTTTTTGCATGTTATATAAAATATATAGATTAATTTACTTTGAAGTTTTACACTTCAGAATTGACATAGATATAAAGAAATGTGCTTTTTTTTACTTTATTGGAAAATTAATTTGAATTAAGACTGTTTGATCTGAAGGTCTCCTATTCAAAATCCCTTAAGCTGAACACATTATATGAAATAATTACGCATGACATTACATTGGAGCTGATATAATTTGATAAGACTGATGGATAATTTTTCGTGACAATCGGGTCAGAATTTTGAGCATTATAAGAAATTTAATAATGTAGATCACACAGAGTATTTTTAAGTTTTCAATTCAAACTTTATATAGATACTGCTGATGTTCATCTTCAAAGATTACGTCACACAAGAAACTGACACAACATGTCTGATTTCGCCCCAATTTTCTGCCAGTTTAACTCTGTTATCCAAGTCATGTTTTACTGTGATGATGAGATAATGATGGGAGAGAGATCATAATTACACAAATTTGTTGAAAGGTTGTCCTGATACAAGGATTTACACCTGACCTATTTATAACTATACAAGTTCTGGGCCTTAGGTACTCCATCATTTTATATAGAAGCTACTACAATCTTCTTGTGAAAATTGAAATTTTTTCAATTAATATCTCTTAGTTAGAAGTTTTACATCCTAGCATTGTAAGTTCTTTCTAAGTTTAAACATTTCCCAGAGGAAATAAGCAGTTATCTGAATTCTTCCTCTGAGGAAGGAGGAAAGGAATAGATTCAGGGATAGTATATTGGCAACCTACTTGGAAAAGGTTGAACATTTCAGAACTCCAGGAGACAAGAGTATCATTGAAACTATTGAATGCTCCCCCAAAATGACTTTATTGGACACAAAACTTTAAGGAAGATCAATTATTCTGTAATTACAGGATTGCAGGCCCTGAATTTGGAATACTGCCTATTTTCTTAGTATGACTAATGTATGTACCAAGTTTCATGATCATGATTAACAAAGGGCAATAACTCTGTATCTGAGGGGATATGGACCTCAACATTGCTACACTGCACCTTGTTTATGTATGACTGATGTATACATCACATTTCAATATGCTAGTTTTTTTATGCAGGCAAAGTAATTCCCTGGACACAAAATTTCAACAAAGGGCAATAACTGTAATTGAGGGGTTGCTGGCCCTAACATTGGTACGCAGATCATTGTCTTTGTATGACCAATGTATAAATCAAGTCTCCTTATCCTACCTTAAATGCAAGCAAAGTTATGCTCTGGAAAAGATATTTTCAACAAAGAACAATAACTCTGTAATTGATTAATCAAGGCCCCTGAATTCCATACACATCACACTGTCTTAGTATGATCAGGCTATTCACTCAATTTCATGATCTTTGCTTAACTGCGATCAGAGTTATGCTCTGGACAAGAAATTTTTAACAAAGGGCAATAACTCTGAAATCGAGAGATTGAGGGCCCTGAATTTGGTACACTGTACATTGTCTAATGATGATCAATAGATCCATCAAGTTTCATTATCCTTGTTTAAATGTAAACAATTTAATGTTCTGCTTTAGGCACAAAACTTTAACAAATGGCAATAACTCTATAATTGAACAGTTCCGACCCTGAATTTGATACACTGCACATTATCTTAGTATGATCAATGTATACACCAAGTGTCATTATCTTAACTTAAATGCAATCAAAATTATGATCTGGACACTAAAATTTTAACAAAGGGAAGTAACTCTGTAACTTAGGGGTTGAAGGCCTTGAATTTGGTACACTGCACATTGCCTTAGTGTAACCACTAGATACAGCAAGTTTCATGCTCTGGACACAAAAGGATGGTAGACAGAAATGGCAGTGAAAATTAACCGCAAAGTATTAAAAAAACGATGACAATATTCATTTTTAAACGTGGGATCAGACTTATGAGGAAAAAGTTGAATATAAAGAGATGCAAGAGAACTGTGCAAGAAGACAGTTTAAAAGTTAGACATATTTTTAAAACCATAATTAATTAAACTGATACAATGTGATCAAGGATATGACACTAACCAGCTGGACATCCTTTCTCTCCCTCCACCATATTGTAACCAGGGCAACACTGATACCGGATATATCTATAACAAACAAACACACAGTGTTAATCAATGGTACTATACAATCAGGTAATACATCATAGTCAAATGCAACCAAGGACTTGGTTAACTGAACACATACAGTATCACTTGGAAAGACCTTGCTACCAATATGAAATCTTATTATTGTATTAATCTTATGATGAGCCCAAGGGGCCAACAGATTATACTTCTGACTCAAATTGGAGGTGTAGGCTTGTTACAGGACATGAAATATCAATTATATATGGCCTTATAACCAGGTAATTAGGGGGAAAAGGTTGATTAAAACTGATATTTCAGAGCAATGTATTGATGTACAAAACACTACTCAGTTATCACAGCTGATATATCAAAAAGTAACACCAAAATTTTACCCCTGGACTATTTGTTGTAGGCAAAGACAACACTATAGAAATGCTGAAATCAGCATTTTTTTTACCTGTGTTAAGAGACCACCTGAACAGGTGACAACAGTTCATTAAAATAAGATAAGTGAAAATTATTTCTGGAAAAAATTCAAACAAGAACTATGACATGAGTGTCATAAATCAATCTTATATCTACTCTACCTGTCATATATATACAAGCACTGATGAAACACAATCCTGATCTAAGGTTCTTAGCTAATTAGCAAGACAGTAAAAGAATTTACAGCATATTAAAGAATTCTGTAAATAATTGTCTTTTTGGCAAGAACCCTTGCATACTGAATTAACAAAATCAGTTTCTCACAACTTTAACAATAGCAGTCATGCTCAATATTTCAATGTGTCAGTTGTTCTTATCATCTTCATCACACAAGAATTGGATATGTAGGATAAAGTATCCTTACACCCTCCTGTCCCCCCCCCCCCCCCAACCCACCACCTCCCTCCACCCTCTTTCTCTCCCCAACCATGTTGTACAAAGTTATTTTGGTAAACTGGTCCTTTAAAAAGCTCAATGATAAATGCCAAGTAGCTAAGTTGGTGGCAGAAAACAAATACAAACCCTTATGAAACTAAGAAAGTACCGTACAGAATATTTAGATTGTGAAGGTCAAATATGAAAGTGAAGGTCATGAGAATACCTTCATCAGTACAGGTAAATACTGAAAGTCAAACAAAAAAAAGGTACTGAAATAGCTCCTTCAATCTATATATATAATCATTTAAACAATAGTTTAGATGAAATTTCCTGAAGAATACATTACTTTAACAGGAGAATTTTAATTGACATATCAAAATCTAATATTATAATAATAACTACAAAATAGTGCTTACAGAGCACAACTTTTCCTCCCACTATAAGCAGCTTTCAAAACAACTTGCAGAAAAAGAAATCTTTATATTAACATGCATGAAGTCCTAAACCTGCAGAGAAAATTGGCATTTATAGACAAGTGGCCTTTATATAGAGGTTCAATAAAATGTATTTATATTGGGAACTGAAACAAGTGGTCCTAATAGACAGGTACTTTATAGGGGAAGAACTTAACGAAGTTTTGACTTTATCAGCTTTGAAACAAAAAGATTTTTTTTCATTTCATAACAAGTTTTCAGATAAATGATTTAATCCTGTGCTTCAATGCCTTAGATCTACCGTGAATCATTTAAATCCACGACCTAAAAAAAATGAAATGATGTAGGTATAACTCAAAGTCTTAATTAGAGTGTGGAATTCCTAACATACTCACACCTCAAATAGAATTAACCTTTACATCTGGTTCTCTAAACAGACAAGGAATGGGTAAAGCCATTACAATCAGGGTCAAAGGTGGGGTCAAACTGACAGGTGTTTCCCCTAACCCAGAGGAAATACTTCTAGATAGGCAAGTTCCCTTACCCCAGACGGAATACTCTAAGATAGACAACTTCTGTATAAGAATTATGTATTTTTGTCTTCATGTGATTAATTAAAATTTTTCAGAATATTTTGTAAAATTTTATTATTTTATATCCAAAAATATCTTTAAATAAAAATTTGAAAAACATAAGAATTATGGTCAACACGAAATGAGTTTTGTTGCCACTAAGCTAACAAGTCTTGACATTCCACTCAACCAATATCAAACCTCTCACCTTTCTGAACAGAACTAATTATCTAATTAGTGAGGGTAATTAAAGTCCCATCTTATCAGTACTTAAGGTGAAGACAGGCATGTTAACAGTGTTACACTTCTATCAGTTTTTTTTTTATTTCTTATCATTATCACAAGATTTGCAATCTACTGTAAAATCATCCATTTCTGTGCGGGGTTCATCTTCATTGAATGTGTGAACACTCTAAATCCAGGAAAAAATGTCCATGAAACAACGAACAGATAAAAAATGACATGGATTACAGGACTTGTGAATTTTTATTTTGTTAGAAATATTTTCCAAAACAATAAGGTGCCAATGACAATGCAATTTCGCAAAACCATGAAATTTGAGCCAAAGAAAAAAAAATATGACAGTACAGCACTTTGCACATTTTTAAAAAAAATGTCCTTTCCACAATTTTATAAGATTGAAATCGTCAAGGTTTGGGGAAGTTGTTTGTTCCATCTATATCTCTACCCTTCACAACTAGTCTCTGTAGTCAATAGATACCTACGTTGGTCGGTCGCATACCCTACGCTGGGGTACCTTGCCCTCGTAGAACCGTTGGCCAGTCCCATAAACCTCCTTCACACGGCACATGTTTGGACTGTAATGACAAAACATTAACAAACCTGTCGTCAATATAACCTAGTATCAGATAAAAATCCAAACACTTACAGAGTTTTGTCCAATTTTATCAACAAATTCTAACAAATCACGTTAAATGATACATTTGTCAGCTTCACTGAAACAAACAGGCTAATTCCCAGATTACACGAAAACTCTAAAATCTGCTTCCATAAAATGTTTGTTTTCATCACCAAGACCTTCACTTTTGACCTTAACGGGGAAAACATATTTAAGTAGCGAGTTATTTATGGTGAAACAAACACACATTGTGATTAGGAAAACTCAAGTAATCAAAGTTTAATTGCAGAGCTATTACTTTGTAGGCAGATAGACAAATCATAATTGTATACAATGTTATTTTATTTCAATCTCATTTATGTACATTCAATGATTTCAAAATCTAGACAATTGAAAATATTCAACATTAAAATGCGACACATGAAAAGGAATTTGGATATAAATGAAATGTCTGTTAATAGCAAATTTCAAATTATTATTATACTATCATGAAAGGTTTTTCATTGAAATGAAAAAAAATGTGTATGCTGCATGGTTTTTCTGAATCTGTAAACACAATCCCAGCAGCAAAAAAGAAAACCATGTCTCTGACAGACTTAAAACCTATGGGGTCATAGTTCAAGTTATGATATTAGCAAGGTATCTAGGATATAGCATTTAATAATTGACTTACAAGTCCCAATAATATAAGTATCGTACCCATGCATTTATATACAATAGAACTATAATACTACAGGATCTCAAACAGTTGTGTATTGAGCTCAATGTATATGATAAAACAGTACAAATATATATCACCCATCAATAAATATTCAAGTTTCTAACAGGTGATGTACCAAATTTAAACAAACACCAACCACACACAGATGCATGATATGTTCACAATATGCTAAGGACAAAAACTCTTGTTAAATGATTTTCTTATATTTTCTGAAAAGTTCTGCAGTGGAGAAAATAATTTTATATCATAGCAGCCTCAAATTCTTCAAAATCTCAGAAACCATTATATTGTTGACAAAATCTGAATGGTTAGAAATTCTTAACAAATTGTCCTAAGCAATTTAAGATTTGAAAGTTTTTAAAATTTGTCAAAAATATTAATAATTAACTCAAACTGAAAATAAGGAGGCCCTATTTTCTTTCAAATTAACAGGAAATGGACCTAATAAAGATCCTAGTATACAATAATAAATCTAGAATTTTTAATAACTTGTTTTTATTTCTTAAATTCACCATAACAGCACCTGCAGCAGTTTCTTTCAAGACAAATTTAATGAAAACATTGCAATAGATTAATTCATAAATTATTCAAGAAAAGATGAATGAAAATTTATATAAAATTCTTCAAGTGCTCTTTGCTACAATGAATCCTTTGAATATTTTGGAGATGTATGAAATTTCATCTGCTTTCTTACTGAATAACAAGTAGTAGTTTTACAGGATATATTCGTAAACCTTCTTGTAAGTATAAATCAAATTTTAATTGCATTGTAAATGCATCCATCTGTTTTATGTTATGTATACAGCAAATCTTTACGCGATACTCAGCTTCAGTGTAGCACACATGATACAATATCTGAATATAAATGTTTTACTCGAATACACAGCTGTTTTATCCACGTTATACCTATAAGACTCATCAGATATCTTATGTCTTAATTGGAGACATACACAAAGTTACTGATGAAAGTATGATTTTAACAAGTTTCAAGTTTGAAAAGGTTATCTTTTTTTTTGTTAAACTTATATTTCAAATTTTGTTCTAATTTTACCTAATAAATTACAAACATGGCCTTCAGATGGACTTCTTATGCTAATGAAATGTTGTTATGTACTTTAAAACCCATCTGTAAAACACTCATATGAATGTATCACAAAGTAGATGAACAATATGTATTGTACCCTAACAGGCTGAACTATAGCTATCAGAGATCTCCGACAGTCCGGTAGTGCCTGTCGTAGGCCATGTACCCGTCACCAGCTTTCAACAATAGCGACAGGTACATTATAATCTTGTGACCTTCTGGATGACCTTGGAATAATCTGATGTGTTTGTGTATAGGATGCTATCGGATGTCTACAGTACCTGTCACTGACGGAAACAACCAACTGGTATGATAGACTAGCAATTATTTATTCTTTAATTCAAGTTTTCATAATCTTCATTTGAGGTCAGCAGTGGCTAATTGGTGCCAGATTAGGGCCTATGACTAATAGGCAACACGATAGTCTTGTGGTATCAACTGGATCTCTTTCAACGAGCGAAAAACACGAATATATACAGCTAGGTTACACCTTTAGAGTGGGCGGCAGAGCTCAACTAGATGTTAATGAATAATAGCTAAACAAATATTCCCTTGATAAAGAAAACCTGACAATGTAAGTAAAAAATCCAATTTTAGGATTTTGAGAATTTTTGTTCTTCTTTTCAGAAAAGGAATCACAACTTGTAACTTTATATTGACATACACCATAAGCTAGTGATACAGTTTAGATAAATATTTAGATACAACCAACAATGTAATAAAATATCATTTATCTTTTACTTATTTTCTTTATCTGAAACTCAGATAATAAGATATAGATAACAATGTATGCAGTATCACATTTTTATTTGCTCTAACAAACAAAGGAGACGGATAAAATATCCAAACCACATTATCATACCTACATTTCCTGTCTAGTGAAAGGGAATTAATTATGTGGCAGAGAAGATTACATGACAGCAGATGACGTCAGAGTATTAAATGGAGATGACAACAGACACTTGGAACAGAAAACTTCAGTATATCTCCAAAAGCCATTCAATGACAAAGTAACCAGTTCTTGTCCGTTAGGTACTAGTATTTCTGTACTTTACCTATTTTTTACTTATATAGTAACACATCAGTAGGAAGAATTAAAACTGTTTAATAGTTGACATGTTTTGGTATACTAGGTATGCTGTCCTCAGAACTCAATAGTTCCTACAGATGTTGTCTGGTCCTCTATGATTGCTGTTTACACACCTTTGAACCAGATTCCTGTATTCCACTAGTAATCCATCCTAGGACGACTGCCGATATTACAGAATCTACCAGACCGGACGTTGGATCTCGTTTTCTTTGTATTATATAGTAAAAGTTATCAGCCGTATACAATATCATACTTTTTATGACATTCTCTCTTTCACATACACAATATGTATCTTTGTGAGGACAGTTACTGACACATAAAACATCCTTGTAAAATAATTGTGATCTTTATGGGGGTATCAGCATTGTAACACAAACTAAGTCAAATATTGTAGACTCAAAGTCTGTACAGTTACAATGTAAAACAAAAATTGGAGCTCTAATCTTTTGACCTTGGTATATATGAATGACCTTGGTCCAATTTTAGAGTCAAATGGATAAAAAATAATCACATAATTTTTAAATCCTTTCTACAGACCCATAATACCTGGAGTACATCCATAGCACCTTAATCCATATTGTTTTCAAAAGGAACATATTACAAAGCAGTTCCTAAATATATAAAGGAACTTCAAACCTTTTTTATACAATGTATCAGGGAAAAGTTAATTGTAAGTGACGGTTTCACTGTTATCAACCCAGTTTTCATTTTAAGTGAATGACATCACTGTAATCAACCTAGATTTTGTTCGATTGATTTTGTGGCAGAATGAGATTTCATGTTGATATTCAGTTGTTTTTATTTTTAAGAAATTTTGTAAAATTATTGTTTTGTTGATTAATTTGTTGATTAAATAACAGAACCAAATAGAATTTAAGAATATGCCAGAGTTTATTACCATATCTTAACTCGAATTTGATGAGGAGAGTAAAGGGGAATGGGTGTCACCTGCCTGACCAGGTGGGTACTCCAGTTTTCTCCTCTGTAAAGACCGTTGGCACTTCCTTATGGGCCAACAACAGTGATTAATATAAGCATGAAGCTTGTTGTAAAATAAATTAAGCCCCTTGGCACTTTCGTATGGGCCAACAAGAGTGATTAATATAAGCATGAAGCTTGTTGTAAAGTAAATTAAGTTCATATTTATAAGACAAGAAGCCCATGGGCCTTAACGGTCATTGAACTGCAAAAACTTTCAGCGGGGAAAAGATTATTTTAACAACTTTGAATGAAATCTTATCAAGAAGCTGTTTCCCATGATGTAGATGGTAGTTTTGGTGAGCAGTAGGTAATTGTAATAAGTGTTACCTATTTTTTGACAGTAAAGTTTTCAGACATCATTCCTTGTGTTGAAAGAGGTTAATCCTGCCTCCAATATAGAAGAAATGTGTCCTCCCCTAATGATATTTTAGGAGGGGTAACATCTGGGGCCCCCACCTTCTGTTCCCCTCAATTAATTCAGAAATAATTGTGTTCTCTCAATGATGTTTACAAAAGTCTGTGTCCTGAACCTTTGTCAGTTCATTATCTGCTTATTTCTTTTTTTTGTCACATGATGCTCATGTTACAAAATGGCCTCCCTGGCTGCCGTGTCGAAGTTTTGACACAGTAAAAAATTAACAACATTTTGTTGGCTACCTTTCCTTAACATTCCCACCAATTTTCAGCTCAATGGCACCAGTGGAACTGGAGAAGAAGTTTACAATATGTTTTTCAAGATGGCGGCCATGGCAGACAGCGCACGACGGACAACGATAGATGAAGCACAATGACTATAGAGCATCATGACTCTTCGGGTCAGGTGAACTAACAAGCAGTATTCTCTCATCATTATTAAACCTCTTTTCTTTGTATCTTTTTTTTTTCTAATAGGCAATATATTATGCTGAGAATACATGACATAATTCGCCCACCCAAAAGAATGTGGCTTGATGATTCGTCGTCATTGTCATCATGATGAAATTTTACCATACAATAATATATACCTTAATATCTTAATATGTACATAACTATGCCTCTAGCTCTAGTTTTCAATGCAGTATGGAGATTTAATATTTGCCTGTTGCTTGTGTCTCCTCTCAGTCAGTTAAGAAATACTATTGAGTTTTACCATCATTTGCCTTCACCAAAACCAAGCTACAGTAGCTATGAAAACAGTAATGTAATTTACTGACCAATTTAAAGAATCTGAAATTACTTCTGATGTAAAAATAACAGAGTTGTTCAATAATTAACTTTCTTCTTGAGAGTTTGGGTCTAAAGAGTAGCAAACAGTAAGATCAAGAATAGCATGGTTTTAGGACGACGCCCAGCAACAGACAAAAAAGGGAGCAATGAGCCTCCATTTCATGTTCCTTTAAATATATATACCTTCATTAAACTACCAGTACCCTAATACAGTCATGCTAAATCTCTAAAATCTGCCATTTGTACAGGAGCACCCTAACCAGATTTGTGACCCGTTACCGTGTACAAAATAGAAGGTACACTATCATGCATGCTTACCGTGATGTCAAGAAATCACTGAAAACAGATTCAAATTTTAGGAATGACACCCCAAGCTTGGTGGTTCTACAGTTTTAGCAGCTTTAATGGTCATCTTAAAATGTTTTTAGATTTTCTTTTTTTTTCTTTTTTAATAAAATTGTCCAAAATTCAAAAAACATTTTAGATATTTTTCCTTTATAATGATATTAATCAATTTCGGAATCTATACACTTACAAAAAGTATTTATGAACCAGAAGTACATGAATCACACAGTTTAATATTAATAAAACTCTTAAGCATTTTCTTAATCTTGAACTGCAAAACAATGAGACTCAGACATGTACAAATGAGACCCATGCATTGTAGAAGAGTTTTCATGAAAAGTTAGCTCTATACATCTGGATATTTAATCACATTCATATAAGAGAAATCTCTTCAATGTTATCATTTTCATCTTTTCCATGTTCTTTCTGCAATTGATACAAATTAAATCCAATCAAATGATGAAACACTTCATGCTACCTTATTGGTGTATCAAATTGCCTTACAAAACTTCATGACCTCCAGGATCATCCAAGTGCTTTGTTGTTACGGATCCATATCACGAAGGCTCTTGAAACCAAAGTGACCATGCCTCATAAGTGAGAGGTGAATCTGAGGTGGTCCAATAGGCTTGACTATTTGTTTTTCGTAAATGTTCTATGTAAGCTTTCCTATAAGTGACATTAATTTAAAGAACAGAAAGAATAATTTGAGGTTGTTTTAAAAGGCTTTAACAGTTTAATGAAATACATCATCTGGTTAATCAGAAATGCATTCATGCAGAATCTTCAGAAGAAATCCACGAATTATTGCAGGAACTTGTCCATATTATCTTCTGAGGTCAAAGAAAGTTTATATGAAATCAAAGCCATTTTTTCCATGAGCATTTCCACTACAGAGATATAGAATTCAGATAGAATTTGACCTTGAGTGACCTTTATACAACATCAGAATGAGTTTGTGTGACCTCTGAGTAGACTGTAATAACTCTATAGTGTCAGGGAATTAGTAGAGTATCTATAGATACAATCTCAGTGAAACTAGCAACAAACAGAGGTAACCATTTCCTGTTACTCTTAGATATCATATTTTAAGAAGTACAATGTCCTTATGGTTAATATTACAGATTTAAAAAGAACTTTTAGATGATTTTTTTTTCGGTACTCCTGTCAAATTTGAATCATGGGTATTCTTACATCCTGTCTAACATAACCACAATGTTTATACCTCTAAATGTCATATTGGATAGATTAGAATGCAGTGTTCCACTAGAGTAACCAAATTTGATCTATAGAATATACAAAGAGTTTAAAGGATAATTTCATAATTTGTTAAATGATAACTTCATTTAAGACCTGGTTAGTAGCACTTTTGTTCTGGGACTATATTTTGTATAACTACTCACCCCTTGGAGACAGTACTAGGATCCCGCTGATAGTTTTTGTACCTGCGTGGATGGTACCCTCTCATCCTGGCCATGTACTTCTTGCGGTAGGTTTGGTAGTAGGGATTGAAATAATAGTAACTCTGGCCACATGACACTTCTTCCTCCCATAGTAAGATGGTTAGGAGGAACACCAACAGGTGTAGTATTCTCATCCTGTAATTATATCATATAGGTGAGTCATACAGGTATAATTATATCATATAGGTAAGCCATACAAGTGTAATTATATAATACAGGTAAGTCATACTGGTGTAATTATATCATACAGGTAAGTCATATAGGTGTAATTATACCATATCGGTAGGTCATACAGGTATAATTATATCATACAGCTAAGGCATACAAGTGTAATTATATCATACAGGTAAGTCTTATAGGTGTAATTATACCATATCGGTAGGTCATACAGGTATAATTATATCATATAGGTAAGTCATACTGGTGTAATTATATCATACAGGTAAGTCATACTGGTGTAATTATATCATACAGGTAAGTCATACTGGTGTAATTATATCATACAGGTAAGTCATACAGGTATAATTATATCATACATGTAAGTCACACTGGTGTAATTATATCATACAGGTAAGTCATACTGGTGTGATTATATCATACAGGTAAGTCATACAGGTGTAATTATATCATACAGGTAAGTCATACAGGTGTAATTATATCATACAGGTAAGTCATACAGGTATAATTATATCATACGGGTAAGGCATACAAGTGTAATTATATCATACAGGTGTAATTATATCATACAGGTAAGTCATACAGGTATAAATATATCATACAGGTAAGTCATACTGGTGTAATTATATCATACAGGTAAGTCATACTGGTGTAATTATATCATACAGGTAAGTCATGCAGGTATAATTATATCATACAGGTAAGGCATACTGGTGTAATTATATCATAAAGGTGTAATTATATCATACCGGTAGGTCATACAGGTATAATTATATCATACAGGTAAGTCATACAGGTGTAATTATATCATACAAGAACAATTTTATCATACAGGTGTAATTATATCATACAAGAACAATTTTATCATACAGGTACAAGAACAATTTTATCATACAGGTGTAATTATATCATACAACTACTTGATGCAGGTGTAATATCATAATTTCTAATTACATCCTACAGAATCCTATAATACATGTCATATAGTGAGTCAAACAGTTACACCAACACCTTTCTGAACAAGCTTACAGTTAGTGTTACATGCAACACTCATTCCCAGCCATTAATTAAATGTTCTAAGTAACAGATGTCTCATTTTAACAATTGTTAATCTTCCCTCCAATAACCATTGTCTCGACAGGAAGGATGCAAAAACCAGAAAATAATGCGAAAAAAAACTTCAAAATCAAGTTTGTCATCCCTATTTCAATTAAGTGATTATCTGGAAAACAACCTAAAACACTGACATGTCAGAAAGAACCTGGCCTTGTGTTTGACCTTTAAAGGTATACACATGAAAATAATTTGACCTGGTCCTTTTTACTCAGTGACCTTGAACAATGGTCAGTTGACTACTGGTGTTATTCTTATGAACTTGGTTTCCCACATCTTTGAGGCACAGTTATAAAAATGGTAATTAATGCCTATTGTAATAAGTGACCTTCACAGTTGACATTTTGACCCCTAACTCAGTCCCACCATATGTAATTTCTGATAATATTGGATTGCATCAAGTTTCAATACAATTGGTCAACCCTATCACATGTTATCATCTGGAATCCAAAATATGACAATAAAAGTCTACAGTGACCTTTCAAGCTGACCTTTCGACCTAAAACTCAATTTCACTCTATATTTCTTTATAAGCTAACCTTTTGTGAAGTTTCATTCAAATCCAAATCCAAAATTTGACATCCCTTCAGTGAAGTTCATAACCTAACAGTAAATGAAATTTCTGGAAACCAAAATTTGACAAAAAGTATCTATCTTTAGCAACAGTAACCTTTGCAGTTGACCTTTCAACCCCAAACTCTCTCCCACTCTGTATCACCTCATAACCTAACAGTAAATGAAATTTCGTTCAAATCAATCCATCTATTCTCATCTGGAAACCAACATACTGACAGACAGTGGGACAGACAGAGACATTACAAATGTCCCCTCTGGTTTCACTTAGCACAGTTCACATTACTTTGCATTAATTTCTTGGCTGGTTTTAGCATTGAAGTGCTGGCTATACACCTGTCAAAACCTGAGGGAACATCAGTATAAATCAACGAATCCTCCAAACCCAATAATAACTACAATATAATTCAGCCTCATTGTTAAACAAAACAGCTTTAACGCTTCAACTTATCATCATATAACTCAAAATGCCAATGCTGCAGTTTGTAGACAGTTTGAAGCTATCAAATAATGACATTTTAAAAATCTATCAATTAAATTTGGGAAAATTTCTCCACTTAGGATTTTCGATGTTGATGTTAATGTTTACATCTGATGTGATAGAAATGTTAAAAGGAGTGATCACATTACTGTCAGTACAATATGATAATGTCCTTGTGTTATTACCTACGGTGGTCCTTTTATAAACACTAAGTGTAATGCAATGGTGTTGCCCATATGCAAAATTTTACTGCAGATTTAAACTTTCCAACATGGTGATATCAATCTATGCAGCTGAATGAATTAACACAACCTGTGTGAAGACAGATATTCAAATGTTCTATTTAGAATCTTACTGCACATTATCTTACAGGATCCAATATGGATACAGCTATATTAATTACACAAATTACACTCAGTCCAGATTCTTACTACAATTACAGTAATTAATAATGTTCTGTACACGTGTCCACACAGATATTACTGTTCTTGCCGGGCCCTCCCCGAGTGCAGCACTGGACCTTATTAATTACAACACTCAAAATATTTCACTGCTGGTTTATTGTATAAGTATCCTGTTAGACTATTAGCAGTGGGTTGTCATTGCCGGGCCCTTCCCAACTTCAACCTGGACCACAGGCTCATATCAAGATCAGGATACATTGCCACATTCAAGTAGCAAGCTGAACTATGTACTGCCAGAAGCAGTCATTCAGAGTAGCCCCTGAGATTGCCACATTTTATAAGTTTTATAAGAATACATTGGTGTAAATAAACTTCTTTCTACTGTACCTAGTTTGTGTTGTTGTTATGTATAAATGTTCTATTTAAAAGCTTACTGCACATCATCTAACTACAATCAATGGCCAAAAGAGACAGTTTTTATGTTCATATTGGAAACAAAAATTTGAATAGTTAGCCAAGTGTAAGAAAAGCTTCCTTGTTTCCTGTGTTATAATGATAAATGTAATTGACACAGAAAACTTGTTTCTTTTCTAAAGAAGACTATGTGATCTGACCTTTGACCTCCAATACCTATATTATAAGCTCATACCTGATAAATGGTATAGAATTTTATTAACTTAAATTTGTGTATGGAAAAGTGAACAGGTTTCATTTTAACAAGCACATGAACTTAGAGAAAACAAAGTAACACTTTAACATTTTATGTGAATCATGAAAATTCAGATGATTTCATAATTCAGTACTTTTCTGACCTTCATTTGATAAACTTGTACCAGAAAATGATCTTTGGTCTGATGAAAGATCCTTATTTCTAACTGAATGTAAACCGAGTTCTTACCTTATAGATAAACTTGATAAACCATTACTGCCAGTGCATCAGGTTTATCAGCCCCTCCACCTGTACTGTAGCATTCTGATTCTGTTTTAAGTATGGTTAGCATTAATTCAAATCATTTAAGTGTTAAATCTTGTCTATGCTTTTTAACAACTAAAATAAGTCTAAATTTACAACTCAGAAAACATCAAAATAAATAGATTTATAAACAAATATATAAATAAACCAATAGATAAATAAGAGAGACTTATAAATTGAGCTTACAGTACTTACATAGTGTAGGGTAAGGAATCCTGAGGTTAATTTCAATATACAGGTAAAAATTTATATGCAGGGCATATGTATACTGATTTCAATATGCATGGATAAACTTATTAAATTAATAAAATATCATCTCCATCTAAAGCATAGATTCCATCTTGTGTTACATGTCTCAGCCTGTGGTCCAAGATTTCAAATCTGAAATACAGCCAGATTTTCATCTGATAGACGATAACCTTATGACCAAGAGTCACATAACTTGTTTCTCATATTACAAAAATTGAAAGAAAAAAATGAAGGAAATCTTTTGGTAAAATCAGAAAGTATCAGTCCAATAAGCATGAGCAATCATTTTCAGGCTATAGGATAATTTCTTTCATAACCACATCTCGTTCAACAGTTGATATCAAGTGCATCTTTGAAAGTGAATTGTCATACTCAGCAAATTTTAAAATTATGCTTGGAGGTGAAAAAATGAAGAAAAAAATTAAATATATAATCAACTTGTATAAAACATCAATACATCCTCTTGCCACAAAATGATATAACTTTGGTCAGGGATACCTTCTAATGGTCAATGTTTTATACAAATTAACACAAGGTGTGATTATAAACCCACACCTAATATATCTAGTTGTTTTTCAAAAGAATAGATTCTGTCTGAAAGAACAAATATTTAGAAACATTAGAACAAAACTGACAATCTAATTAAAGCTTATCAAATTCTTTGATGTAAATCAATAATGTCTTACAAAAAAAGTACTTTAAATTACCTTATCTCAACTTTGTAAGTAAGAAGTACTCTTGTTCCTCATGGCTCCCAAACTGTCTGACAGCAGATTCCATAGTTAAGGTTTAGCATGCTAGATATTGCAAGCATTCATTGACTGTTCCAGTCTTAGATATCAGATTGTTTTTTCTTGATTAAACTTTGATCTTACTTAATAATGCTTATCACTGAGAGTTATTTTTTCCACAGACAACTGTATCAGTAAGTTTATTATTAGAGATAACATCAGACTTGCTGTATGTCTGTCTGTATAATTATGTTCCTTGACTGGTAAAAAATCAGTAAACAAAATGATATGCATCATTTGTGAGAGGTTCTCTGAAGTTAACCGATGAATTAGAGCATACAACTAGTTTCTCATAGGATCTCGGTGTTAGGCACCTTGTTACAAAAAATACAAAGATTACACCACTGAGGTACAGATTATCTAGAAAAACCTG